TCCCGGTTCATCACTGGTGTAGACTTCCTTATCCAGACTGCTTCTTTAATCCAACGGATTCTTCTGTTGTCCTCCCTATCTATGACCCTGGCACCCTCCCAGTCTATCACACAATTGTTTCTGGCAACATGGTCTGTGACTGCCGATTTCTTCTCTTCTTTTTGTGCTTGTTGTTTCTGGGAGCGTGTATATCTTACGGTTTCGCTGTTGTCTGCCTCTTTTCTGTGTTCTTCCAGTCTTTTGCCAAAGGTCCTGCCAGTTTCTCCAATATACACTTGATCACAGCTTTTGCATGGTATTTTATATACGCAGTTCTGTTTTCACGTGGTCCCCATCTTCCTTGGGGTGGACAAGCAGGTTCCTCAATGTTGTTTTTGGTTTCACTGCTGTGGATACCTGGTGTTTCCTGAATACCCTTTCTAGTGGTTCGGTTACTCCTTTCACATATGGGATAATCACCATGGCCCTAGTTTTCTCCCCCTCTTTCCTGTTCTTCTCTGTCTGCTTCACACACAATTGTGTGATAGACTGGGAGGGTGCCAGGGTCATAGATAGGGAGGACAACAGAAGAATCCGTTGGATTAAAGAAGCAGTCTGGATAAGGAAGTCTACACCAGTGATGAACCGGGACGAGGGGGGATACAAGCTCAGCCACGTTTGGGATTGCATTCTCGCCGCAAAAGCGCCACCTACTTTGGCGTTAAATAGCGGCGAGTTGCAGAACTCCAGTCAGAAGCTCTGAGGAAGGTGTCTGATAGACATCGAAACGTAAGCAGGTGAGAACCTTACTGGTTGTGTTAGAAGAAAATCCTATACCCTAAGTATCTTCCAACCTGATGAAATTATTTACGGGAATAATTATTGTAGCCTGATTATCAAACCACTAAAATCATCAGTCATGTTAACCATTACGTACACATAACAATCTGGAATGGGACATATTTTCATACACATGTACATGCTACCACTGTTGGGAGACAATTGTAGCCTGACTATCAAACAACTGAAACCAGCCATGTTAACAATTATTAGCACAATCATAAACAAATGCACTTAGCAATCAAATTTGTGCATTATATTACCTAGCTACATTGTGTACATGGACTAATACGTTTAAGACTCATGATCATATAGTACATGTATGCAGTCTGGTTATGTAGCAATTTGATTCATTTTATTTTGAACAATGTGCACAAACTATTGATGGCTATAGGAAAAAAAGTAGATGGGACAATGACATGTAAATGTAGGACTGGTGTACATGTATGTGTATTTTTTTCTGCAATGTTACAACCTATATATGAAGTATAAAAGAATAATGACAATGGTTTCTGAACAGTTTTTAGTATGTGTGGTGCAGTGCAGATATGCAGAAAAAAGTATTTTGAGCCTTGCAATGTATAATTATATTGTCCACAATCAATATACATGAACAGCTATTGTAATAAAATTATAATTTTGATCTTTTGTGAAATGAAAGAACACCCACCCTCTCCTGGACTCCTCCATGGACTTCCCTCTTGTCTGTGCGAACATGTCAAACTCATCGTCATCCTTGCCGGCCGTGTTCTGTGCTGTGACGGTGGGCGTGGCATTCAGGGTGCTGCTGATGCTGGAACTGGTCAGACCTGTGGACACAATGGAAAATCAAACCATATTTGAGAACCAATAACAAGCAAGATCACACCAGAATATGGGAAATATCTTTGTGTGTGCTACTGTACTGTTGGCTATTCTAGCCTCTAGCCTGTGTTACACAAGCTCTCGGCCGGAGGTTAATGACCTACAACCCCATGTGTCTTTCATTGGGGGGGCGGCAACTTCGGGGCAGCCAGCCGCCAGGAGCACCATTAGTCAGGCTATTCTAGCCCCCCATCAGTATTATACACCTTCATTAAGATTTATCATATATTCACATATAAAGCATTGTAAGCACACACGCACGCATGCATGCGTACACACAGACATACACACACAGAAACACACAAATACACAAAAAGACAGAAACACACACACACACATACATGTGTACACACACATACAGAAACACACACACATATATACACACACACACACACACACAAACAGAATCACACACACACACATCCACACATAAATACACACACACACGCAAACATACACTGATATTTCTACACAAAGATCAACTGGGCATACATGTACATGTTGCATGCAACCAATTACCTCAGTAAGCCAAACACATATAGTTGGCAAAATCTTCTAGATTACAACATCAATTGTTACCACACATATCTAGTCATAACTACAGACGTACTGAGGCCTGCTAGCTGCTGCTGTAACCCTGCTGCTGTAGGCTGGAGAGGGGGAGGTCCTCCAGGACTCACGTCAGGACCCAGGTCTATAAGGGTGTCTGTCTGTGGCTCTGCACTCTGAGACTACAGCACACAACAACACAAAACATACTATCATGAATTCAAGGTTCATCTGTGTTGGTACTATGTACTTACATATGTTAAAAGTTAGAACAGCTAGATCCGTCTACTAAGGAAGACCAGAGTGACTGGTCGAAAGCTCTACGTGAGAGAACTTCTTTGTGCTGGATCTTTAAGTTTTAAGTTTAAACAAGACAAAATATGATCACAAAATATTTTTAATTCATGATGATCATCCAAATGTCTTCTTTGGTACGATGAGGATGACCACTACCACAGAGTGAGATTTGTTAAATAGATTATAGAGGAGTGTACATGAGAAAGAATAAGTCATGGTGAGTGTGGAAGAAAAGGCAAGAAATAACTTTACACATCAACAGAATTCATATCAAGACAGTTTTAGATATCAAACACCTGTGGGTTTAATATCATGTCTGTTCAAAACAAAGTGTGTTAAAGTTTTCACAGTTTATATTTAATAAGAATGACAAGGCAGTCATAATATCACAACAGTGATACTGCCATTAATAATAGATACAGAAGTTTGGAATCCTCATGAAAGATAGAAAATCAGAGGATCCAGCAGTCCAAATACTAGTAGTCCTCTCTGTAGGAAAGAAGATTGCTCCCTCTAGCAGAAACAGATAGAAGTACATTTTGTACACCATAGACCACACCATCTAGAACTGTGCACTCTCAGAAAGGCGACTGTAACAGTCGACTATAGATTCTGGCTATGTCCAGTAGCTGAATATGATACATCTTAGAGAGTTTGATAGTTGTTAAAGGCATCCAATGCAATTTCAGGGCAGCAAAACTGGAAATATTCTGAATAAGGCAATTTTGTGATATTGACACATACTGCTTCACATTAGCACATTTCAATCAGAATCAGTATTTCCTACATTGGGCATTTAAAACTGCAGAAACAAGTCCCAAGATGAGTCCTTTATTTTCTGGGTGGTATCCTAAAAATCGGCCTATAGGGCCCTTCCGGTAACCATTTTCCGTCAGAATTTTGGGAATTTTTGCTCCGTGAGGGTCGACAATATACATTGGGACAGTGTTGTTTCAACTCAATAAATGACTAGAATATTGACTTTTCAAAATCGGATTTCCAAGCCCTAAAAACTGCAATTTGGATGCCTTTAATGATACGTAGATTTGCGAGCACACTTGTAAGACCACCTCCCTTTACCTCAGTGTAGGTGGGTGGTGGGTTGAGGCTGTCTAGGGTCCCCATCAGAGGGGTGGTGTTTGGGTCCTTTAGAGTTCACCAAGAGAATCACATGCAAGGGGTGAGAAACACAATCACTATTAGTGTGCAGCTCTAGGTGCAGACTATAGCCAAGCATGCAGCTACATAGATGCATACACAGATGGGGTGACTACAAGAATCTACAAATACTACAATCAGGTGCATTTACTAGGAGTTATCACATACTACTGATGCATCTAATGCGGCAAAGAAAATATTAACCATTACAGATACAGTGTGGACATGATTCAAGTACACACAGGTGCCCAGTGACCAAAAGATACTTCAACTACTAGATGCAACTAAGAGTAAAGGTGCAACAGTTCTACATTTTACAAAATTGTACAGGCACTACATTACAGGAAGCATGATTGGCACAGAAGCATCTACATTGTACATGTATATGTCTATAGTATGTTAAATTGTACTTTTCCAGACAGAGCATTTCACTTTATAGCCAAATAACATGTGTGACATGCATTTTCCTGATGGGGTGATGGTGAACATACAATGTCATGTACATGACTTGTATAGCAAAAAAATTCATCTGCAATCCTGGCCATCAAGCCACCTTAAAAGACACTGCTACCAGAATGATTGTGAATATCATGTCTGTGTATATTGTTGGATGTTTAGTATACAAAGTCATGTCACTTTAGACTTTGTGTCAGCACATGTGTGACAAGAAATGTATTATATACTATATATCCAACATAAGGTGTACATCCAGGTACAGATTACAGAAGACAGGCCTTTATACATTGTATAATGTATTTTGTATTATGTGTATCTGAAATGAAAAGTATCTAGTAGAACGAATGTCTAATGTACAGTAATGTAAAGTAACATTAATATGCCATGTATCTCAACTGATGATCAACAGCTATGTACATGTAGCATCGCTGGAAAAAAAGGGAAGTTAGAAACAAATCTTTGATAATTCAAACTTGTGATCTGTTCACTCTTCATATACATGTCAACAATTTCATTTAACATCATACTTACTACATGTATATACAATGTATGCTTTAAGTACTGTAACTGTTCTCTAATAAAAGGTTTAAGCATAAACCAAATGTACTGTTTTCATTTGTTAGTGCTACACTAATACACAGCAAACTTTTAAGTTCAACTTGTTAGTAATAAAAGAAAGGGTGAACAGGAGGGGAAGGGTGTTTTCTGTCATGAATCTGGATCCATTTGGCTTTACTACTGATTTTGAGAGTAACTAAGAGTCTAGGAGAACAGGCAGTGGTCGAAATACTTTTTTTCAGTGCTCTGCAATATTGCAGAAGAGTAAAAATTTTGTTCTGCAATTTGGAAATACTTTCTGCAAATACACAAGCCTTCTTACTACAATCTCGCAGGTTTATAAGCATGATGTATTGATTGATATGCAAATTAGTGAAGACAAATTTGTGGAAGTCCAAAAGGAAACAAAAGATAAAAAAGTCAAGACAAGGTTGATGCAAATTAGTGAAGAAGCTCCTGTTGTTTCAGAACAGGAGCTTAAGTGTTGTCTGTCCTTGGGGCCAAAAGCGTCAAATCCCAAGTGCCAATTTTTCCTGCTGCAAAATTGCAGATTGTATAAATTTTTCTTCTGCAATCTTGAAAATCTATCTGCAGATTGCAGACTGCAGACAGGTATTTCGAACACTGACAGGGAACTGTCTAATACTAGTATGATGAGCAGGAAGATTCCAAAGTGTTCCATCAGGGGTGTCAAGTCTCACGCAGGTGTGTTACTGTTACCTGAGTGTGTGCAGGTGGGAATGGGATGTTGAGGGGCACGTCCTGACGTGCAGGTGCTACAGGTGCTACAGCTGCAGCTGGAACTGGATAGCTGGCCGTGCTTGCCACCGGAGGGGGTGTTGGGGATTGCTTTTGATATAAGTTAGACCATGATTATGACAAACACTTGAGTGTGCCATTTAGAATACATTAGGATTTCATTGTTTGCAACAGTGTTGTGCATATATCTACGGGACTGAAAGGCTTGGTAGCAACTGTGGTGTGATGTAGATCAACCATTAGAAATGTGAAAACACAAAACATGATTGTGGAAGGATTGCTTATGATACAAGTTAAAACTGTTGCCAAATACCTGTGGCATTTAAAATACTTTAAGGATTTCAATGTTTACAGTGTTGAGCATACAATCATGTACCTATTGGAGCGCTAGCGCAGGGCATGGTAATAACTGTGGTGTGATGATGCAAGTCAACCATTAGAAAAGTAAAAACACAAAACACGTGGAAGGATTGCTTTTGATACAAGTTAAACCAGGATTATGAAAAACATGAGGTGTGTGTACAGTACACGTATTAGCTGCCAAACACCTGTGCATTTAGAAAACATTTATTTGTTTTCAGTGTTGAGCATATCTACATGTATGGGAGCATAGGGCTTGGTAATAACTGTGGTGTGATGCAGATCAACCATTAGAGATGTATAGATTGCTATTGATACAAGTTGTATTGTACAAGTTGTATGTATTAGCTGACAAACACCTGTGCAATTTAAAATACTATATTAGGATTTCAATGTTTACAGTGTTGACCATATCTGTGTAAATGTAGGGCTTGGTAGCAACTGTGATGTGATGATGCAGATCAACGATTTAGATAATGTGAAAACACAAAACAAATATTATCCTATGTACTCTGCCTTTGCTAGCCCTATTCACTATGTTTGTACTGCTGCACATGTACACGTATGTCACTCACAATTTTTGACTTTTGAAATACCCTTTTGACAACACATAACCTTCCTACAGTGTTATATGGGGAGTCAAAATAATAGCACATCAAAGTATATTATTGCTTAACATTTTGACCTGGTTTATTATTATTGTTTTTGTGGTACTAAAATGTGTCTGTTATAATTTGCCATCATTTTTGTTCATTTATTTGAGAAAACTCAAATAATTAAAGAAAGATTTTCTATAAAAAAACAAAAATAATTTGACCTGGGAACCAGTTTTTACAATGTACTTACTTCTCTGTAACTTGGAGGAGGAGGGAAGCTTCCCATTGGTGCAGCGTTGACGGGCGGGGCCCCCCCGGTTACGGTTGTCGGACCCCCAGCGGTGGCGGCCACGGCGGGGGTCGCGGTGGAGGGCTGGCCCGTCTTGCCGGTACGATATCGCTCAAAGCGCTCAAACCGCAGGAACACGTTATTCAGGTCATCATTGATTCTAAGTAACTCTCCTGGAGGAAAGAAAAATACAAAATTAATACTTATAATATATCGTTTTGTTTTGTATTGTTTTTATGTCTCACTGGGTCAGTCTACTGATTAAGAAGAAGACCAGAGTGACTGGTCAAAAGCTCTACAATGTAGGTGAGAACGTTTCCTATTTTGGGGTTAAAACAAAAGTTTTACCTTTAAACATGATTGTAACTACAAACACAGATGAACTTTCATGATAAAGACTTGCCTTTACAACTTTTTTTCAGACTTAAAGCTATCAGTTGCTAACAGTACAAAAGTCAGAAGGTTTATGAAAATAATGTATTACAATGTATATGAGGATGTATATATCGCCTATCTTGTCGGTTGTAATTTGTACGCAAACTCTTTGCAATTCAGGGAGTTTTATCTCTGCTGTAACTTGTGTTAAGGTTTGCTTTTTGGTGTCACGAATAATTAAATTATTTTTAATAGTGCCAAACATGTACTTACCAGTAACTTCCTCATTGGCCACCTTGTCGATAAGCTCCACTATTCTCTGCTGCATGGCATGACAGGTCCTGTTCAACTCCTGGAAAAGTACAGGGTTTAATATTTACTCAGGATACTATTGAACATTTCAATTTCTGGGAACCGTGAGAAGAACGTCTATGCCATTGGTACATGATGTAGTAATCATGCAACAGTGCTCCAATGTAGAAAAATGTTGTTTACATTTATACTGTAATTCATGTTTTTTACGGTACTCTTTTGAATGTGTTTACTTACCATAAGTTATCATTACCATTAACAAATAATTCCCCTTCTTTTTCTGCACCTGCCACCACCTTGGAAATATAGTTCTATGAATACCTATATTTGTTTAGATAGACGGTTTGTATTTCTTTAGTACTTTGAATTGTTTTTGTTTATTTTTTTGCTGTTATTGCTTTGTTTTAAATTTGGTTCATGTAGTAATGATATTAAATTCATCTGTTAATTTTGTAGTATTGGGGAGAGCCTTTAGGTTTTCGGCCCTCCCATGCATGTCTATTTATTTTTCAACTGTTACATTTTGTTTTATTTGTAAATGCAAATTAAAACAATAAAGAAATGAATAAACAATAAACCTCCATTTTTGAGTTTTGAGTGAATTACAGTATGCTACAGTTGTACTTCTTAATTCTTCTTCCTTTCCTTGTGAAAGAAGAAAATATTTCAATATGTTGAGGGAAAATTATCCTGCTCACATGAAGCAGCTCCAGATCAGCAGGGTCCTCCTGTCCTGGTGTCATCTCAGTCAGCATCTCTGACATGACCTTGGTGTTGCCCTCCACCACGTCTAGCTCGCTGCGCAGCTTGCCCAGCTGCTCCGGGGTGGGGTTGATGGGACCCTGCAGGGCGCCGATCGCCCCCGGGGACCCAGGGGGGTTCTGTTGTCCCCCCTGCTGGGGGGGCTGCTGCTGAGCCTGGGGGGCAGGACGCTGGGCTGGGGCAGCTGTAACACTGGCCTGGTGGTGAGAAGAACAGGTTTGTATCTGTATAGCCTGTACAAGGCCTAGGTAAAAAAATGTTGTGTTTCCTGTTTTCAGACTGAACCTAGAAAAAACTGCCGACCCTAGAAAAAACTGCCAACCCTAGAAAAAACAGCCAACCCTAGAAAAAACTGCCGACCCTAGAAAAAACTGCCGACCCTAGAAAAAACTGCCGACCCTAGAAAAAACTGCTGACCCTAGCCTTTTTTTGGTGAATACCTGCAGGGGACATGCATTTTTGATATGTATATTATGATCTAACACCTGAGTGATGAAATGTTATACTATCAGTTTTCCAACATTGACATACACATTTGTACATGAAGAAATGTTTGTTTAGAAGTTCTACTTTGTTAAACTGTATTGTATAAGTTGGATCACCAGAGATTGTCAAAGTCTAAAGAAAAGATAATCCCTTCCTACCGACCCTATTTTTTTCAGGACTAAAACAGGAAACACAACATTTTTTTTCCTAGGCCTAACCCCACTTTGGCATAACACACCAACTTTGCAGGCATGTGGCATGGCGGAAGTTGGCTACATGTACATTACACCGAACGACTTATCACACCTCACCTTTGAACATATTTGTTACTGTAACAGTTGAGCATATTTGTTACATTTCATGCATGGATTCCTTGGCTGTGCATGCATGCCACCTAGAGGAACAAAAACGAACTACAGACACTTGATTGATCTAGAATGTTGTGATTTAGGATAAGCTATATAAGCGAGTAAGAGCAGCAGTTGCTAGAGAACAATTAAGAACAAAGCACCATAAAGCATTCACTTCTATAGGAACAAGTGTAAGTGAAGTGCAATAGAAGAAAAGAAGCAAGAGCCTCAAGAATTGCAGAATAAGTCAAAACAAAAGAGACTTTTTGCACCTTCCTGATCACCATATTGGACTATTTGTAACAGGGCCTCCTTCAAAATGTCCACACTAATGTTTTATGCCCAAATAGTGCTGCATACCGGTTCACTGGGCTTGGATCCGGACTTATAAGAATGTTTAGGTTCAAGTCCAAAAAAACCTAAAAGTCAAGAACCGAGTCCGGACTTATTACCATAAAAGACGATATGATTTCACATACCCCTTTTCTTTCCAAACCACCTAAAACCTTGCGTAGATTGCAAAATCTGCAAAATGAAGAAAACATTACCATCGGGCATCGTCAAGTACCGGCCTCCATGTTATGTGGCCAAAGTTTCACCCAGACAACATTGCAAGGTTGCCAACATGCAATTTTGTATATGCCATGGGTTTAGGTCCGGACTTACAAGTCTGGAACTGAACCTAAACCTCTGGACTTGAATCCAGACCAGAACCTAAATGTGGGTTTAGGTATGCAGCACTATATGCCCAAATTGACATTTTTGTCCACCAAAGGAAGCACTTGATACCTGCACCACAGTGCATGAAGGGCTAATATAATACAGTTGTTTGTTTTTTTGTCTTGCTTCAAACCTTCAGGATTTGAGAGGAAAACTTACAGGCCTAGTCCTAGCTATGGCAGGGTCCAGGTCTGGAGGTACACTCTAGAGAAGGTAAATCAGATCAAATCAATCAGAGTTAAAGCATAAGGCCAAACCAATTTCATTTGTTGGTTCTCAGATTTTTTCAGATAAAATGTGAAGCGACAGGTCAAGAAAAATAAAAAAAATTAAAAAAGGCCTAGGCATCCTATGATATCCCCAAATGCTATGATAGGAGCCATGAAGTCAACATACCAGGCTGGTTTGTAATTCAAACAATGAATTTCAAACTTTTAATCAAACCACTGCATTGAAATATGGAGAAACTGTAACAACTCTGAAGAGAAGGGACTTCCTTCAACTGTTGGGGCTAAAATATAAGCATTTTGTAGTTGATTTAGACCCTGAATTTTTTTTGCAAATGAGAAAAAAACGAAGCAGCGAATCCGAGAACCAACAAATTAAATTGGAGTGGCCTAAGAGTGACTTGATGCAAGAGAGAAAGGTTGCAGTAGTGTCAGGAGTAGTTAAAATTAATCATAATACAGTGATTGGGCAAACAAGCTTGACTGAAATTTTATTATTGGAAAAAAAATGGAAAGACAGATGCTGTTGTATACGTAATTCTTACCCTCTCTGGTGTGTGAATTGGTGCCAGGTTGTCCAAGTCTGTCATGGGAAACTCCACCCCTGAAGAAAATGGAATCAAAAGAGTATAAAATATTGATACTGTTGCTTTGCTATATATCACTACCAAAAATGTTTTTTCTTATTTTTCTTATTTTCGTATGTTGTCGAGAAATATTTTCTTGCCAGGGGGATTTTCAAGGAGATTCAAGAAACATTCTTCAAAGATTTTGTATGTAGATTCTTACACAAAGAATTTTATTCTTCTTTTTTCTTAAGAAAAGAAAATATTTCTACTATCATGCTCACCAACAATAATCTTAAGAATCTTTAGAATTTTAAGAAAGTTTACAGTATTTTTTTCTGCTACAAGAAATCTTTTCTTGTGTACAGAATGGTTTTCTTGCTTCAAGAACAGTTTAGCTCTTAGTTCAAGAAATATTTCCTTGTGGACAGAATCATTTTCTTGCTACAGCAAGAAAACATTCTTGCTACGGGGATTCTTTAATTTCTTGCACAAAGAATAATTTTCTTGCTACAAGATACCATTTCTTTGTACAAGGAAGACAAGAAAAAAGCATGTAGCTGCGGACCTTTAGACCTGAGCTCTTCGTGCACCTGCACCACCCCCTGTAGGTCAGGGTAGTTTCTGAAGGCGTCTGACATGGTCTGGATCAGGCTGAGCACACGCTCCTGTAGGGTGGTGGAGGGGTTGTTCTTAGGCTGGATAATCTTCACCATCTCGTTCACAAAGTCCTTGTTGGCCACCAGGACGTGGAACCTGTGTCCACAGTTCTTCACGCACGTCTCCAGAACCTGTGTGGAACGGCCACATAAAGAATTTGTCATTACCGTAATTCAAATGAGATTGAAGACGAGAGTCATCTTATTGTGGACAGTAATCTATATCTTTCTCACATATGCATTATTAGTAATAATGCATATGTGAGAAAGATTAATATTCTCTTCAATTGTATACAAGATTACTTCCAAAGTTTATTTTTAGATAGAAAGGAAAAATTCACTTTCCTCATGAAACTTGATAATCCTCGTACTATAAACTCCATCTGTTCTTATATTTACAACTGTCTTAAGAAGCGAGAAGAAGCAGAACCTGTACATATGTAGTTTTACTATAGATATATTTTAGTCTACCATCACTATTTACCATGACCTGTACTTAGTCCGACATATTTGCCCATTTTTGGCATGGTGACCACTGTCAGAAGGCAACAAAATGTCTTGGTTTTTTTCCCCAAATCAGGCGAAAATCAATGCGCGCGCTGATGTCATCCATAAAAATCACTTGCTGCGGCCTATTGTAAGTATTCAGGCTGGCATGTTGTAACAATTATAACAGAAGGACAAGATGTGTTTTCTCTCAAATACACTAAGTCTAATACCAGCTATTTCAAATGGCATTCTTAATGTTTTGTGCTGTTTGTATACAACATTTTGAACTATGCATATGTACACAAATGCACGCAGCTGGAGCATGCATAATTTAGTATGTACGGTGAGATGAATTTAGCATGCATAATAGTCTGGAGCGTGGAGCATATATAATATACAATACTAGAGTTCCCCGATCTCATACCTTCGCCAAATGATGTTAATCTTTATGACTGACAAATTATAGATTAGATTATTTCCCCCTGATTTAAGAAATAGGAACCTGATTTTCATGAATTATATCATTTTATCATAATCTCAACCAAAAGACAGTCTTATATTAACAAACAATGCATTCTAGCATTTCCTAATAAATTATGCAAATGAGGTCCTGATTTGAATAAATTATGTTTAATGATGTTCACCTCAATTTAACTTTCAAATACCACAAGTATGAAATTCCAGGCAGTTATCATTACATAATTATAAATTTTCTCATTAATTATGCAAATTAAGTCATTATTAACATAATCAATATCTTCCTGTGTTTCTCTCGTTGTCAATTACCAATGTCACAAGCTTCAATTGTCCTATCATAGAATGCAGATGATTTATAGAATTTCCCCATGAATTATGCAAATTACATCCATATTTGAATAATTGTCACATAATTATATTAAGCATCACGTAAGCTACCTACATACCAAAAATCACGACGATCCGTCAACTGGTTCTTGAGTTATCCCCTCTTGAATATTTTCAAGAATATATCCCTGCAGTTCCAGAGCAAGCCGCTAGGGGGACCAAACTCACGTCACTTCTTCCCCAGCACAAGAGCTACCTACCATCCAAATTTCATCACCATAGCATGTCTAGATCATGAGATATCAAAACCGGAAGTTCAGCTGCAGTACCATAACAAGCCGCTAGGGGGTCCAAAATCTAATCATTTTGAGGTCTCATCAAGACCTACCCACCTACCAAGTATCAAGACAATGCATCAAGGCCTTCTCAAGTTATCGTGTTGACAGACAGACAGACAGACAGACAGACACACACACACACACATACACGAACGCCCCTGAAAACATAACCTTCTTGGCGAAGGTAATAACATATATTAGGTACAAATGGATTTGTCACAAATGAATTCGATCATGCAATACAATGTTGACTAATATGTATACAAATACATTTTTACAAAAGGCTTCCTTGGTGTTACTTTTGCACAATTCATTGAAAGGTATAATGGTTTTCAATAGGCCTGGAATTATTTGAAGTTAAAACTAGCTATGTAAGCATCACACCTATCACATTTCAACTATGTATTTGCACCTTATAAACAATTTCACAACATAAACCATTAGTTATCTACTAGGTCTTCAGATTAAGACATTTCACATTCTTGAAAGAAACACATCTATTGCTATTATGATATAGCAAAGAAAATATAGCGTTCGTAGCGATGGGAGAATGACAACGATGAGACGGAATTCATAACAAAAATATTCAAAGAAAATATAGCAGTTAGGCCACACCAATTTAATTTCTTGGTTAACGGATTCGCCCGCTTCATTTTTTTCTGGTTTGCAAAAAAAAAAAAATTCAGAATCAACTGCAAAATGCTCATATTTTGCCCTGAACAGTTGAAAACAGTCCTTTTCTTCCTACTTGTTACTGTAACAGTTATTCCATCTTTCAATGCAATAGTATCATTAAAAGTTCAAAATTCATTGTTTAAATTTTGAACCGGCCTGGTGTGTTGACTTTATGGCTCCTATCGTACCATTTTGGGCCATAATAGGATGCCTAGGCCTGTTTTAATTTATTTTTCACCCGCCCGCTCCATAATTTTTCTAGAAAAATCCGTTAACCAAAAAATTAAATTGGTGTGGCCTTATTTTTATTTTTTTTCGCCTGCCCGCTCCGTTATTTTTCTACAAAAATCCGTTGACCAAGAAATCAAATTGGTGTGGCCTTACCAAAGAAAAAAATGCACATGCAAGACAACATTCGGCAACATGGCAGAATGAACTGTGAAGTAAAGAAAGGAAGAAAACTAACCGTAAGAGTGAGCATCAACACCTTGTGGTTCCCCTTGGTCTGCAGTCGTCTTTTGATGGCCTTTATGGCATCTTTGGGCCTAAAAACCATACAATCACAATGTGCAATAATAAAAAAAAGCTGAATATGCAAGTTGAAGAAGCTGAGGAGAAAAAACTTACTAATAAGGTGAGTGCGATGACTTTGTGGTTGCAGCCATGTCTCTGGGCTTTGCTCAGAAACTGTCTCTTGATGGCCTTTACAGCATCCTGAGGCCTTTATTATAGGAAACACTCAAAATTACCAACATCAGAAATATGGTAATGTCTCAGGTAGTGCGGTGTATCTAAACCCACATTTAGGTTAAAGTCTGGATTCAAGTCCAGAGGTTTAGGTTCAGGTCCAGACTTACGAGTCCAGAACTGAGGCCTTTAGGAAACACTCAAAATTACCAACATCAGAAATATGGTAATGTGTCAGGTAGTGCTGTGTACCTAAACCCACATTTAGGTTAAGGTCCGGATTCAAGTCCAGATGTTTAGGTTCAGGTCCGGACATACGAGTCCAGAACTGAGGCCTTTAGGAAACACTCAAAATTACCAACATCAGATTCAGAAATATGGTAACGCGTCAGGTAGTGCTGTGTACCTAAACCCAGCTTTAGGTTCAGGTCTGGACTCAAGTCAAGAGGTTTAGGTTCAGTTCCGGGCTCGTAAGTCCGGACCTAAACCCATGGTGTATACAAAATTGCATGTTGGCAACCTTGCAATGTTGTCTGGGTGAAACTGAGGCCACATAAGATGGAGGCCAACACTTGACGATTCTCGATTGCAATGTTTTCTTCATTTTGAATGCACAGATTTTGTAATATATGGAAGATTTTAGGTGGTTTAGAAAGAAGAGGGTTATGTGACATGGTTTTTTTTGTTGTAATGAGTCCGAATCGGTTCTTGACTTTTAGGGTTTTTTTTGGACTTGAACCTAAACATTTTTACAAGTCCGGATCCAAGTCCAGTGAACCGGTACACATCACTAGTGTCAGGAAGGCATTTAACTGCAAAAGATCTGACAGGTACAGGAACAGTGTCTGTCAAAACTCCTGAACACTTTTGTAACTCTATTCTATTGTGTAATCGCACGACTACTGTTTGTTTCAGTCTGGTTATGTTTGTAAATATTTGTTGACACTTTGTATAATTGTGTGTTCCCTGAAACTGCGTAATTTAGCCTTTTTTATATTGTATTATTAGGCTGCAATGCTGTTTTAGTTTTGTACGAATTTGCAAATAAACCACTTATAATAACTGAAACATATTCCTTGAAAACTTTGTGTATTAAATGTATCGCATATGGTCTAAAGGGCAGGAGTTATATAGTTTTTTGCTTGCAAGGCTGGCATGATCTGTCTGAATCAACTGTCTGATCCTACATGGTGAAAAAGCCATTTCATTTTCATTATGGCTTCACCACTACCTTCTTTCCCTGCCATGTCGTAAAATGTGGTGAAGCCATCAGCTGCATTTGCTCCAAAGCAAATGTCAGCCTTTCTAGTTTTGTATTCTTTAGGAAAGTCATAAATGTTTATGACAGAGAAAGAACATCTGTTGCCTAAAAACCGTATAACATTAAAAAAATAATACTGAGTTATTGCGTCCTTAATAGTTTCAGTGGTAGAAATACTTTTTTTATTGTTCGGCAATATTGTTCGGCAATATTGCAGAATGTACTGGATCTTGGGGCGCGGACCAAAGGCTCAGGATACGTTGATGAATGTTAGACATCCAAGTATTACGATACGCCAAAAAGTATATTACTCAAGCAACTGGAGGATATGATTTTGGAAACGGTCAGTTGTTTCAGCTAGTATCCACTAGCTTTCATCTGTGACTGAGAGACCAGAGGAGAAATGTTGGTTTATAGGCATGAACTTTGTAAAAAAAAAAAAGGCTCAGGATTCCAGGCTAACACAAGCCTCCTTCAAAGGTCAGTACCTTAAATGCTTAGTGTGATGTCTGCTATTTTTTCCTGAAGTTAATCCATTTAGCTGATAGCAATACCTCTGCCATTTCATATTACCAATCCATACTACATATATATACCATTTTACAGTTCGATTATAGTGGAAAATTTTTGTCGACAAATGGCAGTTGGTAGCTCCAATATAATTATTCACCTCTGTAAACAACAGGGCGACCTTTTGAAGAAAATTAGTCTAGGCATATACATGTACAGCATTCGTTCTTAAAAAAAACTAGTTCTTTTGTTTATTCATGACATCGCAGATCTCAGTTATAATATGAGAACACAAGAAAATAATGTTCAACACAACAAGCATTAACATAAAAGACAACACATTAGTAATTTCATAATCACACTACAAGTGGTACAGCATTACATTCTTATATTATTTCATGATCACACTATATATCTGCTGGATAAAAAAAGTGAAAGAAAACAATTCAATAACAATATCATGAAGATAAGACCACATCAATTTAATTTATTGTTTCTCGGATTCACCTCTTAATTTTTTTTCTGATTTGCAAAAAAAAAAAAAAGATTCTGGTTCTGAATCAACTAAATAAATGCTCATATTTTGCACCCAATTGTTGAGGAAAGTCATTTTTCTTCCTAGTTTTCCCATCTATCAATGCAGTGGTTTGATTCAAAGTTCAAAATTCATTGTTTAAATTTTGACCCAGCCTTTTGTGGCTCTTATCGAAGCATTTTGGGGCTATAATAGGATGCCCAGACCTGTTTTTATATTTTCGCCCTGTTCCTTCACATTTTTTCTGAAAAAATCCGAGAACCAACAAATCAAATTGGCGTGGCCTAACCAAACAGAAAGACTATAAGGAGTATGTATTAATTTTAATGAATTAGGCATTTATATTGAGTAAGAAAATGATGAAGATATGAACCAAGAGATGAAATGAGCTATCTGTATACTAAGTATGTGTTCAGCAACTCAGTGTAAAATTATAATCATGTTAAAATGTATTACTATTAGGAGAAAAATTTGATCTGCTTAAATAAAATCAATGGTGCAGCCATGGGTAAGAATTGAAACATACTTGACAATACTAGTGGCAAGCTCATGCACAAGTGTTAACTAACCTGTGAAAATATGTATGTGACATACACATAATATGCTATATTCAACTTATATTGCTGTATACATTATATAGCATCTCAGAGCATATCAAACCTGACCTCAGTTAAGTTCAGAGGCTATATTTATCTGTATCATTGCATGAAGTAGTAAACTTCAAACAATTATATTCTGCTAGATCAAAACTGACAAAAGGAGTGTAGGTTCTTTGTTCCTGCCTTCATGTAGATGAACATCATACTTCAATCTATCAACAAAGCATTGAAATTAGTTAAATGCAAAAAGGTTTTCTTGAAATATGATCAGTACAGTGTATGCTAAAATAAGGCAACACCAATTTAATTTGCTGTTTCTCGGATTTGCTCTGTCCATTTTTTCTGATTTGCAAAAAAAAAAAATTCTAGGTTCTGAATCAACTGCAAAATGTTCAATAAAAGACATATTTTTGCCCCAAGAGTTGAAGAAAGTTGTTAAAGTTTTTAATGTAACAATGCAACTTCATTTTAGTAAAGTTCAAAATCTATTGTTTTAATTATAAACCAGCCTGGTATGTTGACTTCATGGCTCATATCGTAACATTTCCGGCTATCATGATGGGGTGCCTTGGCCTGTTTTTTTTTTTTTCATTTTGCCCTGTCGCTTAATTTCTTTTTCGAAAAAAATCTGAGAAAAAACAAATTAAATTGGTGTGGCCTAAGCATAGATAGTCAATGAACCCTGACACCCAGTTTTAAAGTCTGCTTGATGTACAGAATCTAGTTCTACCTACCCTTCATCAGTTTCATTGATGATGTCACATATTTCCATCATCAGGGCCCAGTTCTCCGAGCCCAAGGTTGCATCTGTGGCTTGTTCTGAAAACAGGAAAGATTTGATTTATTTGTCGGTGAAGGTTAGACATCCAGGTATAATGAAAAAAAAAACAGTTGCTCAAGCAACAAGATATGATTTTGGAAACTGTCAGACATTTCAGGTAACATCTACAAGTCTACAAGTACTACCTTTTGTCAGTGACACTCACTTGTCAGAAAAGCAGGTTTATAACGAATTATTTAATTGATATGAAGTTCGCACTTATAAACCTACTCTCCAGTGTCACTGACGAAAGGTAGTGGATGCTACCTGAGATGTTTGACCGTTCCCAAAATCATATCCAGTTGGTTTACTTTAAATTAGTAACTGTTATAGTTTATTTATTTATTATTTTTTTTATTACAACATGACAAAAAGGACAAGATGACGACACACTCAAGCTAAAGCTTATGTTCATGTCGCCATCTAACATTACAAAAGTACAAAACAGATACATTCATGCATTGTAACCTTATTAATTCTATTTTGTTATTATTTATCTATTTATTTCTGTTTTCTTTTAGAATCATATAAGAAACATAAATCGGAGTAGGTACGCCAGGCCAGGCCAAGTCAGGAGTTATTTTATTACACTGGGAGGTGAAACATGCTGTTTTCCAGGTACCAAATTACTTATAAAGTACATGTTGATTTTGTAGATAAATGGCTGTTGCATTGTTTAATATGTTGGTTAATGTTTCAACAAATTGAGAAGTGCACAGGTGATATTCCTGGATTCAGGAAAGGGGGATGTGCAACAAGAAAAAACTAAGCCCAGGCCTCGAAATTAACTTTTTTTACTATCGTCCCAGAATTGTCCCGAACATAGATTTCAATTGTCCCGAACTGAAGATGGACTGTCCCAGCCTGCTTTTCAGGAAAAAATTTATGACAACAATAAGAAAACAACAACAACTGAATTTGTACAACTTGAAGTCCACTTTATTAGTAAATGTTGGGAAATACATTATAATATCATGGGCACGGCACCATCTTTGAGGCCCCCCTCCCCGATATTTGGAATCCCTGATTGGTCAAATTTAAATGTTTCTCAGAGTATGTTGGATGGATTTCGTTCCTAAATGACGTGGATAGTCTCAGAATTTTCCAGTTGCCCCGAAATTGTCCCGAAATGTAATTTGAATTGTCCCGAGCTGAAAATTTAGTGTCATTTGACACTGGGACAATGTTAATTTCGAGCCCTGAAGCCTCATGGTTTAATAAATTAAATCACAAACAAAGTCCTTAAGCCTCACTAAAATAAGTTGTCCTTAAGATCAATTAAGGGCAATTACATGTATACCTCCCCCTTTCAGTGGAACTGGGCACAGCAGTAATATGCGATTATTGAAGGATATGTGTGTCAAACATGATAACATAAAATCAACAAGATAGCAAACTTGTAACAATCTTTTTCAGCACAAATGAAGCTACGTAAATAGATGTTTTCTTGAGTGTGAATTAGTTTTTTAGCATTTAGTTTTTAGGCCACACAATTTTATGGATGACATCTGCGTGCGCATAGATTTTCACTTGTTCTCAAAAAAAAAAAAAGATCACATCCTCCGAGTCTCTAGCCTGGTTCTAGGCCTGGGTAGTCTATGGAAGTTAGCAACAATACGAAGCCGGTGGTAACTCTGAAGGATGGCACCCAGGCTACCAAAGCTTCATGGCTCAAGAACTCAGTACATACGTACAGTGCAGATTCATTAATTCCGCAAAAGGCCAGCATGTGCCGGCTTGTCGTATACGTCGTTATGTACTGCCGCAAATTCACAAGAATACCAGCTTTGTATTCCTGTGGTTTAGTCGCATTTTTATTTTTTCCGCGCACTAGTTTGGGGGTCTTCAGAGGATGTCATCCATAAAACTAATTTGGTGTGGCCTTACTCAACACGCTTGGATGACAAAACATGGTCCTTGTATTTATTCCAGGTCACGGCTCTTTTGCCACATGTAACACAGTCGGCCATGACCTGGAATAACTCAATGTCAAAAAAGCATCCTGCTTAAATTCCTTAAATTCACAACACCTCATCAACTTTATCTGTAAGTGTTAAGATTACTGTCTTTTAGGTGGGCCAAGACTTCATATTAGAGAAACTTTATTTGCAAAATCATGCTCGAAGGCTAATTGCTTGTACAATCAAGTATAATACTCATTGCAATACAGTAACAGGAGACAGGTAACAATCTGTCTGGAAAATCTTCTACTTCTACTACTACACTAGCTATTATGGGGTTCGATTTCTTCTTTGAAGGCTGAGTGGATAATGAATAGTCCCACATTCTGCATAATTACTAGTAGTAGGTTTTGTAATCTTAGTAGAAACTTAGTCTTTTGGTGATCTTCTAAATGACGAAATGATGGAGAGATTGTTGTAACTGTCTGAAATAATCTGTTTCTTTCGGTCTCATAGTGAGGACACTGGCTAACAAAATGTATTTCAGCAAATTGGCACCACCTGTTAAGGTCATATGATACATATGATAACCCTATGGGTGGCAATAGAGAATGTTTTGTTTGTAGAACAATGACTATGTATTTAGCAATTACTTGCAATTTTGAAGCAAAAAGAGCTATAATTTAAGAACAAAGCATCAAGGAGAAGGAATTTTAACCCTACTTTAGGATTTGAAGAGCACACTCTTCTCTAGGATACGCCTTTTTAAGCTTTCCCGACGTACATGTAACGCCCAATTGAAACTGCACAAAAATTTCTGCCCCCCTCCCCCTTCACACCACAGGTTCGAATCCCACAAAATGATGCCCACTTTGTTTTGCGGTTATCACCAATTGTCACAATCGGGTGCCAAAATAAAATGACGATTTGAAAGTGACAGAAGGCTTAAAGATACCTGTTTTGTTAGAAAGAAAATTGACAACTTAAAAATTACATAATGTTATGATACGGAAGTTGCCAAATCATCGACACATACAGCGTAACATCAAATATAATCTGCGACAGAGAACCACGTCAATATGAGTTTAACATTTTACACGTACGGAATACCAACAGGAATATCATTCTGTGTATTTCACATACATATTAGTACATCTAGCTTAGACTATAAAAAGGAGGGCAAATTATCCTTGGAATAAAATTAGACAGTGTAGTCTGTTGATAGCTGACGATGTTTCGAACGCGGAAGCACAGTAACACTGCAAGGTGGCTAGACAAACTCTTCGATATAACCATCAATTTTTCTTATAGTTTACGATTTTCTACCCCGTTAGGCTTTCGGCATAGATAGATGAGATGATAAGGTACGACGTGGTAGAAAGAAAATGTTTCTGGCGGGGTGGAAGACGTACCTATCCGCTGCCCAACTTGGGTGCTGAACGGACTGCCTCCGAAGAACGACATCTTGGTCAGACGAGAGGGGATGGCTGTAAATATAGTCAATGACGTCATACCCTTTGCACCTTCGAGGAACCTCGCCAAAAAATAACGAACATTTTAAAAATTTCCAATATGTTTTGTCAAATATGAACAAATTCTAGTCAATTCATTTACACGAAAGGCAATTTCTTGAAAATTTTGCGAAATTTTCTTTTCTGTAGGTCAGAGGTTACCAGTTGCTAGACAACGGCGCCATTTTGAAACTTGTTTGGGTGAGTCGAGAAAGCAGCGAAGAGAATCAGAGCAAAGTTTGACAGATTCGTGCATCTAAAGTTGCCTTTTTCACAGGTTTGACAATGAATTTGTCTTTGCGTGGTGCATGACTACGTGTGTAATTATTTTTAGATATTTACTGTCAATATTACTGACGTAAACTCTTCTCAAACTGTTTGTGGGGAGGGTCGAGCCGTTAAAACAAGGATGTTGTTTTGATTACAATGTTTTGAATAAAGTTATTGGCTCTATAACGTTATATATCTATATCTTTCCAACACAAAAAGAAAGACACGGGATATTTTTTTGACTTGATTATTTATTGATTGATATAGTCACTGCCGAGCAATGGAGTTTTTTAGTACATAATTTTAGCAACAGAAATCATCAATATTGTTCGAATGTATTACTGTTATATACAGTTCCGTAAATATGTCAATTTTTCTCAGTGAGCTTTTGCTACTGCAAACTCACTCACTAGGTCGAGTTTCCCTCGGCCATTTCCAAAAAAAAGTTTTCAACCTTACTGAAAATTGTACAAAACAGCTGCAAAATGAGCAAATATATCCCATGAGTTGAAAAAACAAACAGACATTGGAAAACAATACCAATGTCGTAGAATGCCAAAATGAAACGAAAAAGATGAAAATGTACATGTAAAGAATTGAATTGACTACATTATTCGCCAAACCACACAGTGTTATTTGTTCAACCTTCAAAACCATGTAAATTTCATATTGACAGCAACTTTTTTGGGGGGCCAAACTTTTTATTAATCGCAAGCTCGCATCAGGTTTGGGATTCCCAGAGGATGTCATCCATATTATCCAATCAACATGGCCTTTCTTTCTTTATTTGAATTTACCACATGCAAAAACAAGTGGAAGGGAGGACAAAACAGGTGTATCAACGCCTTTACAAGTTGTCTGGGCCTAACCCATAATCCGTTGGACTCCATTGCAGGCATTGTAGAGTTGGGTGTGAGCTAGTGAGGATCCGCGGACGCCGCCACCATGAGTCGACTGTACGACACGGTCGAGCCGGCGGTCATTGATGAGGAGATGCTGCAGAAGGCCGTGGAGGAGCAGGGACCGAAGGACGAGGCTGGACGCATCGCCAAACAGGAGGGCATCGACTTCGCAGACGTCCTGTCTCTCAGACTAGACTTTAAAAGTAAGTAAGCTCGAATGAAAGCTCATCTGTGTTGGTAGAATCCATAGTTATAAAGTTCAAACTTGTTCCAACACAAGGAAGAAACTCCATGATAAATTGTCGGCTGATTCCATCAACCTTCATCAGATGTGCGATGCAATCGCCGACCACTTTCCGGAAGTCGGATGAAGGTTGATGAGATCAGCCAAAAATTTATGGTGAGTTTCTTCCTTGTGTTGGAACAAGTTCGAACTCTATAACTAAGTAAGTAAGCTGTAACAGTATGTTGTAGGTTCTACAATGTATGTCGTATTCTTCCGGCCGTATAAAAGTTTGTCGTACATGTAAGTTCTACTGATTGTACGTTCGTCGTACGTTCTACCGATCATCGACTTTGCAGGTTTTTCAGATGTCCTATCTCAAAGACCAGACTTTTAAAAGTAAGCTGTAAACAGTATGTTGTATTTAGTTCTTTGTCGTAAGTGCTACTGATTGTACATTTGTTGTAAGTTCTACCTATCATACTTATTTTCGTAAGTTCTACTTATAGTTCGAACTTCATCCCAAGTTGGACTGACTGTTTGCCATTCAAACAGCCGATCCTGTTCCAAAGCTTCGTTTTCAATGAAGTGACTTAAGAATAACTTAAATAAGTTATCTGTTTGTGTGGATGTGCCTTTGTACTCCAACAAGCATCTAAATGAAAAGCCATTAAAAAAAACACAAATTGTACACAAATTATGATAACATGTTATAATAAAAAAAAATCTCTACCTACAGACATTTTGAAGATAGACAACCTGTGGAGGTTCACCAGTCTAACCAAGCTGCAGATGGACAACAACATTATAGAGAAGATTGAGGGAATGGATGCACTGGTCAACTTGGTCTGGCTGGGTCAGTATTCCATCATTCTGTTGTATCTCAATAACACATATTACACAAAAGTACAATGTGTATCTATTCTAACATACAACACAATTGCAATGAGCTGCAAGATTTAAAACCATTGCATCCACCAACTAGAAGGCAATAGGGCAAGAATGTTACTTTCGTTTGTGAAAGATTAAACAACTGTAAAATTTATACATTTTCTAATTAGAAGCCCCTACTCTAAGAAAAAAAATTGGGCAATTGTCCCTGTAGCATCATTTTAAATTACCATTGTCATTTCCTAACAGAAAAACCATAAAAAATTGGTACCAGAAGCTCCCTCTAAGTATTGTGTGTAAAAGTATACATGCATGTACTTAAAAGGGGAACAAGACAAGATAAACCTTGTCATTATATCATGCATGGCATGTCTGAAATATGATTTCCTACACTTAGGCCACACCAATTTAATTTGTTGGTTCTCGGATTCGCCTCTTCATTTTTTTCTGATTTGCAAAAAAAAAAAAAAAGATTCTGGTTCTGAATCAACTCAAAAATGCTCACATTTTGCCCCCAATAGTTGAGGAAATTCCTTTTCTTCCTTGTTGTTACAGTTTTTTCCATCTATCAATGCAGTGGTTTGATTAAAAGTTCAAAATTTATACTTTAAATTTTAACCCAGCCTTTTTTGTTGACTTCATGGCTCCAATCGAAGCATTTGGGGCTATAATAGGATGCCTAGGCCTGTTTTTATTTTTATTTTTTTTCGCCCTGTCGCTTCATATTTTTTCTGAAAAAATCCGAGAACCAACAAATTAAATTGGTGTGGCCTTACTTTGCTATTCCATCTTGTTTAGAGTGCTACCTGCCATTTGAAGTTACGGCTGGACAAATTGGCTACCACTATTTTCCTGATATAATGACAGGTTTCATCAAACCTCTTGTTCCCCTTTAAAGACACAATAGAAAGTACAGGGAGTTTTGTATGATCCTCTACAACTAAAGATCTAACAAAGTTAAATACATGTATGGATAAAGAATGCGCTGCCTCATATTGACCTTTTATTCATGTCACACACTGTGTAGACCTCTCCTTCAACAACATTGAGGTGATTGAGGGTCTGGACAAGCTGACCAAGATTCGAGACCTGACCCTGTACAACAACAAGATCTCCAGCATAGAGAACATGGACGCCCTGGTGGACCTACATGTCCTGTCTGTGGGCAACAATGAGCTGGACCAGCTGGAAAATGTAGGGAACTCAGTGGTAGAAATAGTGCTGTGTACCTAAACTATGTAAAGGTTCCGGTCCAGATTCAAGTCCAGAGGTTTAGGTTCAGGTCCAGACTTACAAGTTCAGACCTAAACCCATGGCATACTAGTACACAAAATTGCATTACACTACCAGGGTTTAAAAGCAATATCAAGATTAATTGCTTGCACAACACATCTGGGTGAAACTATGGCCACAAAATTTACGAAGGCCGACACTTGACATATGCTCATTGGAAATGTTTTCTTCACTTTCCCACACAATTTTTTTTTAATCTATGGAAGGCTTTAAGTGGTTTGGAATGAAAAAAGGAATGTAATATTATTTTGTTTTTCTTGTAAGTCTGGAACTAGTTTTTTTGGACTTGAACCTAAACATTTGTACAAGTCCGAAACCGGTCCAGTGAACCGGTACACAGCACTACATGTAGGTAGAAATAATTTTTTTTCAGTGCTCTACAATATTGCAGAATGTCAAAATTTTGTTCTGCAATTCAGAAATACTTTCTGCAAGTACACACTTAAAAGTCTTGCTCTAAACCAATGGCATTATACAAAATTGCATGTTGACAGAGATTTGTAATATGATACAGACCAGATGTTTTTATATATAGCTTCATTTCATGGAATGGGGAGGGAAATGGACTGAAATATGCTGTATTTGGTTTTGGGCAAATGTTGGCATTTCTAGTAACCATTAGGCCACACCAATTTAATTTCTTGGTTAACGGATTCGCCCGCTTCATTTTTTTCTGATTTGCAAATAAAAATAAAAATTCAGAATCAAGTGCAAAATGCTCATATTTTGCCCTGAACAGTTGAAAACAGTCCTTTTCTTCGTAGTTGTTACAGTTATTCCATCTATGAATGCAATGGTATCATTAAAAGTTCAAAATTCACTGTTTAAATTTTGAACCAGCCTGGTATGTTGACTTCATGGCTCCTATCGTACCATTTTGGGCCATAATAGGACGCCTAGGCCTGTTGTTATTTTATTTTTTTTTTCGCCTGCCCGCTCCATTATTCTTAAAAAATCTGTTAACCAAGAAATCAAATTGGTGTGGCCTAATTGTCATGTTTTTGTCCCCCAGCTGATCTACCTGAGAAGATTTAAACAGCTGAAGACCCTGAACCTGAGTGGGAACCCTTTCTGTGATGATCCCAACTTCAAACACTATGTGATCGCCTACCTACCAACTCTGCAGTTCCTGGACTACAGGCTGATTGACGAGAACACAGTAAGTTTTTTTTAAACGGAGTGGTTCAATGCAGTTCAATTCTACTTCTCTGCATTGAACTAGAAATATGAGAGAAACATGGCTATGTCAAGAGATGGCGGTGAACGTTTGATTTGAAAGCCTGTAGATGGTAAGTCGGTGGGGAACACTTGACAGGGAGGGAATTCCAAAGCTTGGCCATACGGGGAAAGAAACTGTCACTGTAAAAAGATTTCTAACAAGGAATTTGGATGGTGAAGTTGTGTGAGCTAGTGGAGAACCTAGTGAAACTAGTTGGGTGAGTTCTGCAGAGCAATGACCATGAAAATATCTGTAAAAGAGGAATAGAGAGGCAACATTTCGTCTATGGGAAAGGGGGTCTAACTTGGAGGCCAGAGGATAGCCTATGGCCGAGCAGATTTTCTTCTGTATGCCATCAAGAAGGTGCAGGCAATCGATTGTGGCACCAGCCCAGAGGTGCGAACAGTACTCCATACATGGACGAATGGTGGATTCATAGAGGTATAGTAGACTTGCAGGAGTTACGATGTTATAGGTGGTTGAACAAAGAAATGACAAAACAAAAGGATATGATTGTTTTCTTCTTTTAAAATTAAACATTCAATGGGGGTAAGTGCCTGCATGTATTGGATTTTAGGGCATAGGATACAGTCATTGTCAAAAAGGATTTGCATATGGACAGCAGTGACCAATCAAACTGAGCATTGGAAACTTTCTTAGTATGAAAAAAATCACATGACTAGTTGCAGGTCTCGAAATACTGGGTGCATGTGCACCTTAGTGCACCCAAAATTGGAGCTGTGCACCCGAGTTTTTTCACCCAAATATTTTTGTAAGTATTTTTGTACATATCAAATGAAAAAATATGCAGGATAAAAGTATACAGGATATTCTTGGCATCTAAGTGTAACAAAAATCATAAACCTTTGTTGTAGTACTTCTTTTATTAATTAGAGATTTTGAATTTAGCTCCAATTTTAGATTCAAACTCAAAATAGGAGCAGTAAAATCTGTAATGGAGTTTTGTTTTATTTGGTGCACCCAAAAAAATTTTGTGCAAATAATTTTTTAGGTTGGGTGCACCAGTGCACCTATTCCCAAAAATGAATTTCGAGCCTTGAGTTGTGACCAATTATGTATGTTTGTGTTCCAGAGGGCAGCAGCCAATGAGCAGTACACATACCCCATCCAGCAGCTGGAGCACAACGAGGAACAGGCGAGGAAGAGGATTGAGGACCAGGAGGCAAAGGAGGCAGAATTCAGCCTCCACAAGGTGAGAGGAAAACTGTCAAAATGTAAAGCAAAGTTCTTTTTATCACAACCATTTATTTTTCACTAGCCAACGTTTCGATGACCGTCTGTCATCTTCGGCTAGTGAAAAATAAATGGTTGTGATAAAAAGAACCTTGCTTTTCAGTCGTTTACCAACCTGATGAAGTTCTTTACGGATGTAACAATGTAGCATGTTGTTGTTGAACTTACTGTTCCTTACATGTGTTTTAATGTATTGGACTCAATGATATATGTGTACCAATACACAGCACTTAGGAGACTAAATTTTTCATTGTGATTCATTGTTAAGAAGGCCACAATACCAAAGCTTAGTTGGACTTTCTGAAGTCAATGAATTTATGGTCTTTAACCCTTGTCCTGCTGGCATTTTTGACACCATATTTTTCAATAATTTGATGTTTTAATCAGATCATAGACCCTTGGCACGTTTATGAAGATTAGTCATCCAGGGTAGAAAACTTGAATCATTATTTTAGACTTTTCAACTGGATAAAAGTTCATATAGCTTACATAGTTTTAAAAAGTTTTTATATTATTATACACCCCCTTGACCTTTTTTGCCCTGTGGTGGTGTAGTGATTTCTGCATTAGTTGTGTTTCTCTGCAGTGTGATGCATGTCAGAGAAATACGCCCAAAAAGCACTTAATATATAGATGGTACTATATGTGCAACCTATATATATATATATGGGCTCTGCAGGACAATGGTTGATAACAGCAGATATTTCAGCACCGTTGACAGTTCTCCCATTTTTATCCCCTCCCTCAGAGTGCCTATGTGGAGAACCTGAATGGTTCTGCTCTGTTTGACTCCAATTATTGTATTTACTGTCTTCTCTGTAGTCTATAAGAACAGCAGATATTTCAGCACTGTTGACAGTTCTCCCAACTGTACCTCCCTTTAGAGTGCCTATGTGGAGAATTTGAATAGTTCTCCAATGTATATCAACATTTATGGAGCAAAAATGCCCATAATTCTGACCAAAAAAAAAACAGTTACTGGAAGGACCTGGATTGATTTTTAGGGTACCACCTCATCTTGGGGCTTGTTTCTGCAGTTTTAAATGCCCTACGTATTAACTACTGATTCAAATGTGCAAATGTGAGACAGTATGTGTCAATATCGGATTGCCTTATTCAGAGTATTTTCAGTTTTGCTGCCCTGAAATTGTATTGGATGCCTTTAAGAACAGCAGATATTTCAGCACCGTTGACAGTTCTATTAACTTTTTGTACCTTCCTCGGGGTGCGTATGTGGAGAACCTGCCTCCAATTGTTGTATTGTCTTCTCTGTAGTCTTTAAGAACAGCAGGTATTTCAGCACCTCTGACAGTTCTCCCAACTTTTTGTACCTCTCTCAGGGTGCGTATGTGGAGAACCTGAATGGCTCTGCTCTGTTTGACTCCATGTTTGCTGATGACACAGAGGGACCCAAACTGGCTCTACTCCCAGGCGTGGATGAACTCCTCACTGCATATCCTTTTATTGTGAACTTAGAAAGAATTAGAAGCTGTTTATGTACATATAACTAATTTCAAATGGAATTTAAATTCTAAACAGAGGGAGAGAAGTTAAAGGACAGTGTACTTATGGATAAAATAGATTCAAGGAAAGTACAGTGTGCAATTATTAGTAAGCAAGTTTGAATGTCAAATTAAAAATTTGTGGCTAATTCAATAGAATTTACTTTTTTTTAGTATGTCATACCTGGGCCGCGATTACGTTCGATACGGGTGTTCCGGCCCGTGTGATAACTAGCGGTACGGCCCGGGGGAGGGCTGGGACCGAGGGTGATGCGGAATACACCGTGTTGTATTTTATTTATGTCATACCCACCCAAGAAAACGCGCCTTTCAATGCGAAATGAGCGAAAATTTTGTGTCCCTAAACCCCAAAAATGCGACAACATCAATTCCAACGTCCGAATTTTGTATTCGAATTTTGAAATCGGTGCACGCGGTTAGGCCGAAACGCGTTCAAATCGTTCCACGGAACATTTGGAAGCCCCGGGCCGTACGCGTAAAGAACCCCCGGGCTGTACCGCTAGTTATCACACGGGCCAGAACACCCGTATCGAACGTAATCGCGGCCCAGGTAGGACATAAAGATATTTATACTAGTATATGAATGGCTGTTTATATTTTCAAATTATCATGGAAAATGAATAGAAATGAAAAGGTTCACCTCAGGATTTTTGAAGAAGTTTCTATGTGGATAAATTCTAAAGCTTTCTAGGAGACCAAATGAAATCATTATGGCCAAAAGGGCTAAATGTTCTAGCCAACACTAAGTAGTAGTAGTAGAATGGTTTATTACAAGAACAAAGACGACAATGTACACACAAGCCTCCTGGCAGCTATGATGGCTGAATTGCGAGGCTTATTCTAACATGATGTAGCGACATACTAATATGTACATTCATAAAATCTAGTTGAATTTAAAAGTTGAATTTAAAAGCAAATATTATTTTAAAATTGATGCAATATAGCTTTGTGGAAAGTAAATAAAAGCATCATGTGGAATTACTGTACGATTGGGACTTACCCCAAAAAACCCAAATGAAATCATCTTTCGTCGGTTTGTTCCTTAATTCTTTCCCCACCTACAAAGAGAAGTACACAGCGATCTGCCAGCAGATTTTTGAGTACGGTCTGAAGGAGCACCAGAGACGCGGGGATGAAGTCAGCGGCTTCCAGACCGCCGTGGACGAAGCTAAGGAAGACAACAGGAACATGGGCATGAGGAAAATCAATGACTTCAACGATTATCGGAGAAAGGTGCGTTCAGCAAAGTAGTTATGGCTTCACCACACCAGTCACCATGGAGTAGTGTGGTGAAGACATATTGCTTTCTCTCATGTTTCTTCTTCTTCTCCTCCTCCTGCCATTTCTTTAAAGGGATTCAACTCAGCCATTTTTCAGCTAAATGACCTGAAATTTGGCATGGAGGTAGAGTGGACAGATACCCCCAGTCGTTTTTTCATTTCTTGTTGAAACAGGCCTTTAAATTTGTTTTATTTGTTGTTTTTTTGCCATTTTCAGGCCAAAAATATACATTTTGGGATCTGGAGCCCAGGCTTGTACTAAAACTAAATGACCTGAAATTTGGTATGGGGTCATACCTTGGACACATGTCTACAGAATGGCATTTAAGCTTTTGACATATGCCTTTTTAGTTTTGTTTTTATGTTAGTCTAGTTTGAATTGGATGAAAGTTAGGCTAACTCTTTGGTGTACCAAATACGCATCACATATCAAAGCCTTCTCCTCATCATACAAGCTAATATTTTAATGGGATAGCAGGGCTCGAAATACTGGGTGCATGTGTACCTTAGTGCACCCAAACTTGAAGCTGTGCACCCAAATTTCTTCTGTGGGTGCATCAGTGCACCCAAATATTTTTGTAGGATTACACATGTTAAGATGTTAAATGACATATAGTTGCTGTAATATACAGCATAAAATTATTCTTAAATTATGTCTGGAAAATGATAAAATTATTGTTAGTAGTAAAACCTTTTTTTTAGAAAGGAAACATAATTAGTTTTTTCTATAGCTACTTATTTTATTTTATATGGTGCACCCAAAACATTTTTTGTGCATCCAATTTTTTAGGTTGGGTGCACCAGTGCACCTATTCCCAAAAATGAATATCACTCCATGGATAGGTTGCAGTTATAATTGTATACAGTACAAGACTTGGTGTAAAACTTTTCCTGCCTGACAAACTAACTGATTACTATGATTGATTTTCTGCAGTTGTTCACTGAGCTGGCACAGAGTAGTGACCAGGCACACATCGACACCTCCCTGGAGCAGCACAACAAGGAGATTGACAAGTTGTGGGACAGCCTCATGGCCCTGGAGATGCAACTGGTGGACCAGCTTGAGGTATGAATTAAATTTATTTAGAAAGTGGACCACAGTGTTTCTGTGAACAACATGCTACTGCTTGAATGAAACCTCATCTATGTTGGAAGAATCCATAGTTGTTTCAAACAATGTTATCCCCAGTATGGCTAGTTTACATGCATTTCAGTAGCATTTTTAGTTACAGAGTTCAAATTTGGTTCCAACACAAGAAAAGAACTGTCTTGTCAGCCTTAATATCAGTGTGATTCACTGACTGACTCTCCCGAAGTTAGAAGTGTGATTCCTGACTCCTTTTTTTGGAACAAAGTTGAAACTCTACATTCAACTAAACATGCTACTGCCATACATGTAAACTAGTTATAACATTGCTTGAAATCACCTATGACACCTTTTATTGAGTTTCAAGTACATGAGACAATACTGACTGACTGACTGAGTGACTGAGTGACTGAATGAATGAATGAATGATTATTGCTGGCTATGTAATGACATAACAAAACCTAGAGCTGTGCTTTTGTCAAATTAACCATCATGTGTTGCTTTGTGCCCTTGCAGGATACCATCAAGGAGTTTGAACGGAACATGGCTGATATGGTGTCTACTTTTGTGGAGAACGTCCAAGCACTATATCCTTTCATAATTATTTTTATAGCATTATAGAGTCATCACTAATGTCTGTGTTGTCTACAGTAACTGTAATTATAGTCATCTATGAAGTGAATTTCACATGATGTCACATATAGAAATTGTTCAAAAACTTTTCTTTGTATGTAAAAGAACATCATTAGATTCTGAAGAACTCAGCAGCACTGATTTTTTAAATACACGTATGTTGATAAATGTTCAGGGCTCAAAATTCATTTTTGGGAATAGGTGCACTGATGCAGTCAACCTAAAAATTGGGTGCACAGAGAAATTTTTGGGTGCACCATATAAAATAAAGAAAATGAAAATGCTTAAAAATTCCAATGAACCCAAATTATAACCTCAAAATCTTCAACAAATACTACAATAAAGATTTTATTATTTTTCAGACACTTAAAAGCCAAGAATATGCTGTATACTAGTATACATTTAATATCTTTACTTACATAAACATACAAAAATATTTGTCACCCACAGAAAAAAATTAGGTGCACAGCTCTAAATTTGGGTGAAATAAGGTGGACATGCACCATATATTTTGAGTCCTGATGTTGTACTTTGATATGTTTAAATTTGATACAACATGTTTATGAAAAATAGCTTTCCTTAACACAAGCTTACGATCTCTCAATGTCGTGACCTTGAGAACACCCACAATGAGAAACTGCTGGAGGTTGCCATAGTAACGCTGGAGAAGATGGTGAAGAATGAGCTGGATGACGAACTGCCTGATGATGTCAGAATGGTAGGAGATCTTTGGATCTTATTAATAAGATATTATAAGAAAAAAAAGACACAAGTGACTATTATCTCGCAGAAATATTACATTGCCACTGACCTATTAGTAAGTACATTTTATGTCCTACCTGGGCCGCGATTACATTCAATACGGGTGTTCGGGCCCGTGTGATAATTAACGGTACGGCCGTCTTCATGAAGAGTAAAATTCATGTTTCCTGACAATTATTTTTTTCTAAGGCAGACTCTGCAATTGGACTAAAGCTAGTTGAAAGTAGACATCACTTATGAGGTTGCACAATGTTAAACTACTGATATAGGAACTGCAAATGCCCCAACCATTGTTAGCAAAGTTGGCTGGGTTGGCTGGTGTTCAGGGATGGTTAGAACATTTGGGGTTGGTTGGGAGGTTCAACCATGGTTAGCTGGTATATATATTTGGTTGTATTCAACGGTGTTTGGGGTGTATACAGGGATCGAATTTGACTAAAATTTGTTTTGATTTGTATAGATAGGTAGGCGTGACCTAAATCTGGTCAGAGTGCTCCTAAACAAGTTTGGGGAAGGTTGTAAATGTGTGACAGGCTTAAGGCAGAGGACATCAGAAACATAAAACTAATTGATGATTTCTCTCTCTAGCTCTTTGTGGACAAAGACACCATCACAAACGCGGTCGGCGCGTCACACGACCTCCACCTGCTGAAGATCGACAACAAGGAGGATGACATCATCACGCGGGCCAACAACTGGCTGGCGGCGCTCATGGAGCGCGTGCACAACGAGGAGGAGGTCAAACGCAACCGACACCGCGTCTCCGAGATCAACAACTTCATCGACCACCTCCGAGAAGAGGTGGAGACGTTTGAAATCCAGGCAGCGTAGAGGGATAGTAGTAGTAGTAGAATCAGTAGACTATACTGCTTGTGGATGTGGTATCTTTACTATGCACAGTTTGAGCTCTTCCAGCGATATACTCTAGTGTAAATAAACCTGCTTTATGTTGATCAAATTCCAAAAATTTTGATTTGTGTTTATCAGATATAATTTCTCTGAAGGCTGTGTGGACAAAATTTGCGTCACCAGGGACAAGGAGGCATTGTGGATTTGGTACAGTAACTGTAAATCACTTTTGTTCGTGGTACTTGGTTTTCACGGTCACTTCTGTACTGCGAATATCATTACTACTGCAAACAGATAATTCGCTGACTTTCTTTCTTCTGCACCTGCTGCCACCAAAAACATATTAATAGTTCCGCGAACAGATGTCTATTTTTCTCTGTGAACTGCTACCGCAAATATAAAGTGATTTACAGTATCTTTTGTATGCACAGTTTGAGCTCTTCCAGTTATATATACTCGTGACATTGATCCTGTAAATAAAACAGCTTTATGTCAATCAAATTCAAACAATTTTGATTTGTGTCTATGAGATATAATTTCTTTGTGTGGACCAAAATTTTTGTTGCCAGGGACAAGGAGGCATAACTGAATTCAACCACAATTATTCAGGCTGTACTGTGTTCTTTTGCTACAAATAGTGAGTCACATTCGGGATATATGATGCACTGTGAAAATTGACTGCTGGTTTGTTACCAGGCAGTAGGAGGCCTAAAAAATTTATAGAAACAACATTTTCTGTATGCTTTCAGGATGACAACGTCTTTGTATATAGCCTTGTAGAAGCAAAGCTATATGAACAACATTATGACAGGTGGCTCCCTAGATTTTTCCTTAGAAGTTTCTCTATTAATAAAACATCAAGACTTTATTCTACATCCAGATGTATTCTCTGGCAATAGTAAAATATGTCATCTGAGGGTATATTTAGTTTCGTTGACATGTCATGGTTGCATAACATCATAAACTAGGAATAAATTTTGATTCCTAAATTACTTGTCAATGAATGATTCCACAAACAAAAGAAGGGGTACATTTCACCTGTTTGTTTATTAGAGGCTATGGTATAACTCTCGCCAAATACTCTGTGAACATTTTTCGGTATTAGACACGCTTGTACATCTTTGTCATTAAAAATCTTTTCTAGGTATCTGTATTGCATATTTTCTATTCAAGTTCATTATTTACATGTCCGAACAAGCCTCACCAGGAGACTATAAATTTTAACAGTGTACATCTGAAGTAAGTCATTTTATTTCTTAACATGACTGATATCATTATGAACAACATTTTTTATTCAGATGCACATTTCTAATCTATTCAGGACATGTTACATCCTTGCAAACCCAGTTGCAGGTCACAATGTATATGAATTACAATTATTATTAATAAAGTTGATGGTCATAAAATGTGATAGCAGCTATAATGCAATTTTGAATAGAAAATTTTGGGATTCTTTTTCAAGCTCAATTTTGACTTAAAATACACAAAACTAAGTAAAACATGACACAATACCCAAGACTAGCATAGTACCGGTATTACAATTGTTGAGATAGAAAGCTTACTTTTGAGTAAACCCCACTAGATATATTCTTAAGTAAATGTACAAGTCTTGTGCTATTTTTTGTTTCTTCTTAGCAAAAAAGTGCATAAAACAGGAATTTGCTCACATTTTTTATCAGATATTATCTGATCTGAAATATTACACAGGCTAAAATTATACACAATGTTAAAATTCCGATTACACAGAAATTAAAAGTGCTCTGTTACATCATACATGTATTATTGCAATCCAAGGTCCATTGTATACATCACATCACATTACATTTGACTAGTTCTTAAAAAGTAATAGTTTCCATTTCCTTATTAAAAAAATCTTCAACATTCTGCAAAAAACAAGTTAGTGGTATAGTTCTAAGTTGTAATTAACACATGTTACAATGTATGTAAAAAGCCTACCCTGACCTTATTTGTGCATCTTTACTTTGGTAAATTTATTCAATACCACTGTGCCATTTGTTCTGTTAAGCACAAAATATTTCACTGCAGCTATTATTTCCTTTTGACTGAAATGGATCACTGGTTTTTAGTTTGAAGTCAAATATTTCCATCTATTACCGTAACGACAGTACTAAAAGTGTTTCTTTATGTTTCATTTTTGTTTGGTTATCGTTCTGTCGGTTACTCATCCGTCTGTCTCTGCCACTTGGCAAAGTTGAGGAACACTTGTTCCAGAGAGGTCTGGCTCACGAGGTAGTCCTCGATGTTGAACCTGGACTTGGCGCGTTCCATGGTGCCGAACACGCGGGCCCAGGTCAGGGAGCGGTCCTTCACGTGGTAGTGGACCATTCCGTAGTGTTCATCCTTCAGGATACTCCCTATAGTCAGGACGATAGCAAATAAACATTAAAACTAGAGTAACATTAATTTTGCAAAGCAAATAGACATTATTAATGTTTACCTTCGGACATGGTCTGCTTTGTTCTCACTCAAACACATTTACATACATGTACAGTCATGTACTACTAGTATATGGTGACAGGAGCAGAGCAGACCATGAAATTGCAACATTATGTAACCCAACACCAGTCACCATGGTGACAGATGTCAACAAATCATGTCATTGGTCAGGTCATAGGTCACTGGAGAAGAAGAAGAAACGGAGCAAAAACTACATTGTTTTCCTTTGGTAAGTATTTACAGTAATGTGAGGATCCTGAGAGGAAGGATAATATCTGACAGAAATTCTAAATATACTTCTAAATATATTAATAATATAATAAATTACTATGTACAGTACCGCTTTCTTATTTTTAAGATTTGGTTCTCAGTTCAAGACCAAAGATGGGCTCCATCTTCCAATACCATGTCCTTACTTAAGTAACACAATGGATCAACAATCCACTGCCCCTACAGCCTCATATCATTTACTGACTACATTTCAGGGACTTAAGCACTGATAATATGTATATTGGAGAGACTAGAATTCTAATTGATATTAATGCTTTCATGTGTTGCCAGTATATCACTGTTGATGCTGAAACAAAAGATTCAATTTACTCTTCATCTCATTCAGTAATCGCTAGCATTTCAACAATGCAACTATAGGATCTGCAGCACTCATATAATTGAAAAGGAAAATAATGTGTTGTCACGAAGGAGCTAATAACCGATGTACACACAGGATGAGGCTGTTAGCTTGATTTGAAGAAAAGCCCTTGAGGACTTCATCAACCATTCCACATGCAGCAAATTGAATATAAGGCCACACCAATTTAATTTGTTGGTTCTTGGATTTTTTCAGAAAAAATATGAAGCGACAGGGCGAAAAAAAATAAAAATAAAAACAGGTCTAGGCATCCTATTATAGCCCCAAATGCTACAATATGAACCATGAAGTCAACAAAAAAGGCTGGGTTAAAATTTAAAGTATAAATTTTGAACTTTTAATCAAACCACTGCATTGATAGATGGAAAAAACTGTAACAACTAGGAAGAAAAGGAATTTCCTCAACTGTTGGGGGAAAAATATGAGCATTTTTTAGTTGATTCAGAACCAGAATCTTTTTTTTTTTTTTTTTTGCAAATCAGAAAAAAATGAAGAGGCGAATATCCGAGAACCAACAAATTAAATTGGTGTGGCCTAATAGCAAATTGAATACTAGTAATACTCTCACTTTGCTCAGAGCAATTCAGATGGTCACCAAAACATTGGCTGAATAAAACACTAAGTCTTGGCTGTGTAAAAAGAGTCTCTGCTTTCAAACAAAAAAAGCTGCACTGTAAAATCCCTACCTGGGAAGTTCTCTTCTATGAAGTCTTTAAGAGGCAGGATGTTCTGTCTCTCTTCCTCAGGTGTGTTACAGGCCACCTTGGCGATGAGCATGTACCCCTCCCCGAACCTGGACTTCAGGTGCTGGGTGCTGCCCAGGCACTTGAACTGACCGTTCACCATGATGGCCAGACAGGTGCAGAGGGCTTCACACTCCTCCATACTGCAAGGACAGTAGTGGTGTACAGAGTCAGTCTCTTCATGAAATGTAAAATTCATGATCTCAATTAATTCTTAATGCCTGCATGCTACTGGCCAGGCACTTGAATTGACCATTCACCATGATGGCCAGACAGGTGCAGAGGGCTTCACACTCCTCCATACTGCAAGGACAGTAGTGGTGTACAGAGAGTCAGTCTCTTCATGAAATGTAAAATTCATAATCTTAATGCCTGCCTGTGACTGGCCTCTACAAATGTTCACATTTTAATACAGGTATTGAAACTATCTATATAGTAAACATGATGCACAAAGATCACCTGATAGAAATGTTGCAATTCTACTGCAATTGACAGTTTATAATATATCATTTTGTAACAGATAAGCCTGGGAGTTTGGTTATCTTAAATTTTGCATCTAACTATATTGAAAGAGGTTTAGCATTTAACCTCCTTGATATTAATTATTATAAACGAAGACCAAATCAGTTCCATATCTTGTGGAAAGCTGTGCTTACTCAAGTACCAGGTACATATATAGGGTCAAGTGGCTTACAAGGAGTTGGACTTAACACATAGTTACAGACAAGATAGTTGCAACAGTTTTAGGGTACAACAGAACAAGATAGATACTTAGTCAGAACTAACCAGCTGTTAAGTCTACAAGGCTGTTAATATACCATTGCCAAAATGGTTGACTATACTTGGCCAGTAAATATTTTAAGTTACAATCATAATTATTTCACAACCTTATTTTATCGCTACTTCCAAGGCAAATGCTCCGCGGAACTTCATTCACTAGTGCCCCCCACTTCGAACATTCTCAGCAAGGACACATCTTGCCACTTCCACCAAAGCAAATCACCCTTTCTTCCTCCATTCACCACCTCTTAGGAGGAAGTTCCATGCTGAAAGCTTCTTTCCAAGAACAGCATCACTTTGGAATACATGTAAGCTACCTCGTGATCGCTTCCCCTATGAGTATAACCTTAAACTCTTCAAGTCTAAGGTCAACAAACATCTGTCCTCACTGGCTGTTCTGTAACCCAAAACATTTTAAGTGGCTCCCATGAGCCTTGTTTTGTGGTGACCTATGAAGTAAATAAAAAAAAAAAACAACTAAAAAAAAAAAACCTCTTGATTTATGGACCCACCTGTGAGAGGTGATGACGATACACCTGCCGGCCTGGCGCACCTGGCACAGGGAGTCCCACAGCATCCTCCTGGCCACAGGGTCCATACCTGTCGTGGGCTCATCCAGAAACACGATGGGAGGGTCACCCACCAGCGCGATGGCAGTACTCAACTTCCTCTTGTTACCACCACTGGAACATGGCAAGAATCATATTTTAGTAACTTCACATGTTGGTAATCAGTGTATTATGTAAAAGTACATTGTACTATAATCTACTAATCCACCATAAGGCAGTAGTCATGTTGGTGAAGGTAAGACATCCAGATAATAAGATACGCCAAAAAACAGTTACCAGTACTCAAGCAGCTCAATATGATTTTGGAAATGTTAACTAAAGATGTTTCCGGTAGCATCCACTACCTTTCGTCAGTGACACCGGAAAGTTGAAAGTTGTAAAAAAAGCACGTTTATAAGCACAAACTACTGATTGATATGCAAAAAAATGAAGACAATTTTTTTTAAGTCCAAATTTAAAGGAAACAAGAGTTGAGACAAGTCAAGACAAGGATGATGCAAATTAGTCGATTAGCTCCTGTTGTTTTGATGTAGTGATGTTAACTTTAAAAATTCTTTCATCACAGAAAAGTCCTGGTCTGCCTACTGTATTCTGAAGGTTTCTTTCCTATAGTATCAGCTAACCCATTTGGCCCATAGCTAATGCAACTTAAATGTTTGGGTAATCAGATCTGCTGTTCCAAAGACTTCCCATTCAACTGAAAGTCTATCTGACATTAGAGCATCATATCATATTGTGACTGAAACACTAGGAGCAAGAAACAGGAAAACCCCTAACTCCCAGGATACAAGGATTCAAATCCATGCAGTGTCCGGGTAGCCAGTTTATGACCCCAGTGCCCTAACCCTTAGGCCAAAAGGTCCAGGGCACTTTGGACTGGGTCACTTAGTGGTGCTTGAGCCCCACTGTTACATGTACATGACACTGTGAGGATTGATAATCATTGTAAAATAAACCAGCTACATTTGTACATGTACATGTAAATCACCTGTAAGCCTTGGTAAGCTTGTCGGCATGTTCCTCTATCATCAGTGCCTGTAGAAGGTCGTCCACCACAGGTTTGATGTTCTTCTCAGGCACACCCCTGAGCCGGGCAAACATGTACAGGGTCTCCCTGCCTGTCATCTGGTCAATCAGAGCATCAAACTGGGGGCAGTACCCTATCAGCTGCTGCACCTGTATGTGGATAGCATTGTTGTTACACACAGTAAAAAATTGTTCACAATTTTCCTTCAGATTACCTAGTACTTAATTTGGCCCCTAGGTGTTTCAGAAGCAGTGTGCATTATCTAATAAATAAACAAGCTACCATCATATAAAGTACAACAGATTTCAAGAGTCTCGATGCTAGAGACAGATTTGAATATATCTAATCTATACATTGTAAATGATTCCCACAATGCAAAAATAGGTAAATACTGAAACTCGTGATTAGCCCCTCTCGTGCTAGCCCTTGCTGTTTGAGTAATAAGGATATGTTACAGTAACGTTTTATTTTACATTAGGTTTTATGCAACACATTTATTTTATTGTCTGCTATTTTATTGACTGTTATTTTTTTTTTCTTTGTTTGTACTTTACCATACATTGTACCAATGTCAAAAATGTTGAAACATCATGTGATGACCCTTCAGAGCTGAAGAAAGATGCCTTTTGAAATGTTCTCATGCAGAAATTTTTAAATGTGACTTTCAGGTTAATCCTTCATTTTCAACTGAAACATCTTGTTTGAATGCATATGGGATGAGATTATTCTTTTTTTTTTCAAATTGAAACATCTTTGAATGAAAACTCATCTGTGTTGGTAGAGACCATAGTTTGAGCTTGGTTACAACACATGTAGCTTATGGTGAGTTCCTTTATTGTGTTGGAACTAAGCTCAAACTTTATAACTAATGAAACATCTTGTTTGGAAATGGGAAGTCAGTCTTACCCTTTTGATGTCGTCCTTGATGTTATGACCTGCCACGTATGCGGTTCCTGACGTGATGGTCTCGTCGCCTGTCAGCATCTTGAACGTGGTGGTCTTCCCCGCCCCGTTGATTCCCAGCAGCCCGAAGGTCTCTCCGAGCGGGATTCCCAGAGACGACCCTTCTACTGCAACTAGTGGCTCTGAGCTGTACTCATTGTAAATCTGGAAAGTATATGGCCAATATACATGCATGTAAATAACACAGTCATGTACAGTGTGTACATATGTACAATGTACTCAGATTTTGTCACATACTTAACACATGTAACATGTTTCATGGAGACAACATCTAACAAGTGGGACGTCCTTATACTACACTTTTGTCTATGTCAGAGAGAGACACTGGTCTCGCAGGGTCTGCATTAGTGTCCGCTATGAGAGATAGGACATACTGGAGTAACTTTATCAAGTGTACCTCACCGGATTAGATAATCCGGAGGCATGATGATGATGATGAAACATGTTATACAGTTACATTTGTGAAGATTAGTCATCCAGGGTTAAATCAATAAAACAGTGTTTTAAAATTTTCCACTGGATCTAAGAATTTAATTGTCAGACATTTCAAGTGTCATTCTGACACTCTTCATCTGACTGAAATGTTAACATTGGATTTATGGAATGAGAAACAAAAAGGTTCTAAATTAACAAAACAAACAATAGAATTTGTGACATCAAGTGTGGCATCAACACCTTTGACCCAGTGTTGATGTGACACTTCAGAGAAGCCATGTGACAAGCCTCACTGGGTCAGTCTACTGAGGAAGACTGTCCAGAGTGACTGGTCAAAAGCCCTAGGTGAGAACAATCCCTTGTGTTGGCTAAAAAGTTGTAACTTAAAACAAATACTAGAAGGTTACATTTGCAAAGCAAATGCATAATCTTTCCCTTCGCGTATGGTCTGCTCTGTTAATTCTTACTCAAACACAATTTCATATAAAAAAAAATATGGTTAGACAGGAGTCTAAATCCATAAAATTGCAACAATGATGTAACCCAACACTAGTTACCATGGTCACAGACATCTGGTTCAGGTCATTGACCTTATTGGTTTGGAGAAGAAGAGGAAACAGAGCAAAAACAATGAATGCTAACCTTCCTGAGTTCCTTCAGAATGAGGGCATCTGTTGAGAAGAGTTGTTTGAGGGGGGTGCTGTTGATGCGTTTGCGTTCCCTTGCAACATCCTCATCATCCTGGATACTGTACTGTCCATCTGAATTGATGACAGTTGGCTTTCTCTTAGGCCTGGTACCACAAAAAAATCATGCAGTGAGCTGTATACTTCAAAGATTTGGAAAAATGTCACAGCAGGGGGATAAAAAAATTTCACCTAAAGCATTAATACCTTATCTGTAACCAGTGCTCTAGCCAGCTTGAATTTTTTTTGCATCATATCAATTTTGTTTGATGTATTACACCAACTATATAATGACAAAGCCTGGAAGAAGGATAGTGAGTTAAAGGGGCATTCCCCCAGCAAAATCTCTGAAATGCTATTTCCCACATTTTGAGGGGTAAATAATTGCTGGTAGACTAAGCTTAGCTTCATGACATCTCTTTCAATATCTTTACACGGCGATTATTGTAACTTTTTGTCCATTGTAAGCGACAAAATTCTGTCAGATAACAGAAAGACGGATGCTGGCTAGAACACTGACAGCAACAATGGCTTCCAGAAATTGTAGCCTGAAAAAAATTATGTAAAAATGTAAATTAAGATGGGCTTTATGACTTAAATAAATGGTCAGAGCAATTGATTTTCAAACTTTGCCGGTGGTTGCTTAACCTAGAATCTACTAGTTATGTCTCTTAATTTTAAAATTAGAAAGTATTATTTCCAAATGACGTACATGTTGGGAATTGGAGGAAGCTTATGAGGAGCTCTCTTTGACATGGAATTTACTAATAGGTAATTGGGGTCCAGCATTGATAATTATCATTACTATCTACTGGTTTAAATTATCAGTTTTTTGGTTATTAACATGTGACATTGTGTTAATTACTTTGTCTTTTGTGCCATGCTTGTCCTTTATACTGTCTTTTTTTGTGGAAAACAATAAAAAATGAATTTGAAAAAAAAAACATGGTCAGATCTCCCTACCTAATGAAGTACCAGAACTGCCTGAGTAGGTTGGACTCCACCAGGAACAGGACACCAAAGAAGAAGACCCCCTCCCATGCCATAAACACCAGGAAACGTCCAATGCCGTTCCTCTCCCACTGGAGGTAGTTGGTGGTCCAGGTTACATCTGTCAAGACAAAGAATAACATAATTCAAACGTAAATCATAGTCAAAGTCTTCAAAGAATAACTGTTGCAAATCTCCAAGCAGATCCCTCTCGGTGGCAAAAAGACAGTATCAAATTGGCCAGGCAGTATCCATTAGCCAGAGAAGCTCCGCGGCCACCGACTTTGTCTTAAACATCATGTCTAAAACATCTCAGCAACATGCCACATATTGTTAAAGTTACTTTAGGCCACACCTATTTGATTTGTTGGTTCTTGGATTTTTTTAAAATATGGTTAACTGGAAAAAACCTTAGATGAAAGCAAAGTCTGAGGACCTGGTTGATGCCTTGGTGGACTACAATGTAAGTGTTATGTAGTAAATACAGGCTTATTGACAGAAGTTTTCTTCCTAGCCCTGTCATTTTATGTCATGTCTGCTTGCTATCTTTTGAACTATAAATGTCTGAGAACCAACAAAATAAATTGGTGTGGCCTTACTGATTGATTATCATACTTTTAACAGTGGTAGTACTTTTAAAGTACAACCACAAAGGAGTATTCGGTCTAATGTGGAACAATTTGAAAGGAAAGTGACTATTTATTTAAAAAAATAGATGCAAAGCCTGGATAGTGTTCTCCCATGAAAATTTTGAAGTTTTGACGGCTAAAATGCTACTTAAAGTATTTCCTACATTCTGAGGATCAAATTTTGCTGGTAGACTTATTAGAAGTATTTTAATGACATCTGTTTCCATATCTTTAGATGCTGATTTTTGTCCGTTAAGGATGACAAATTGGGCAATTTTTTTGTCCATACTGTGTAGGATGTCAACAGATGAACCTGCAATAGAATCACTCATAAATAAGCTACATGTATGTACTTACTGAAGTCTTTGCAGATGGCCTCGGTAATGGGATCTTGAGTGCACAGAGACACAATCTGGTAGTTCGTCCCAAAGTCTGAGAAGGCCTGGCCCAGGCAGTAGTTGGGTAGCACAGAGAAACCCCAGGACAGGCCTTTGGAGATATCTTCTAAGTCCAGACCAGGAATTGCAAGGATTCCTGCATAAAATAAGACAAGTGTCTTAGCTAATGATACTACCTTAAGTTATGATCATTAATTTTCCTTCATCGCGAGCTATATCAGTTTCAAACTTTTCTACAGAATCTGATGATTACTGTAAGCAGTTGCCTTGTACAAAGTTATTACACTCAAATGCTGGCCATACCATTCTTTTTGTATCAGTGACACATGCCCGTAGCCAGGGAGAGGCCCCACCACAAGGCTCAAAGGTCCACTTTTTATCTAAAGGTCGAAGATTTTTCTTTAAAAGGTGCACTGACTTGTATCACCAGTGGGGTTGGAATCGTAGAAACACTGCTCACTTTGTCACTGATTAAAAAATTATCACTGATTTTTCCTTTGAAATCCTCTCAAAAATGCAGGAAATGCCATTTCAGGAGGTTCAATTTTCAAAATTTTCCAGGTGAGCATACCCCAGGACCACCCTAGGAAACTCTCGCACAGTGCTCGCTGGTCCCTCAGACAGTGGGATAACCCCCCCCCCCAGCAAAATCCTGACTATGGGCATTTATCACGTTAGTTTGACCAACTTTGCAACTTTTTCAACGACTTATACAGTGTATTTAGCCCATTTTGAATGCACTAAAGATCATTGCCATTCAATAATAACTCCACCCATCAAATCAATGGTTCCACACTAGTGCTATGTACCTAAACCAACATTCAGGTAAGGACCTAAACCCAGGGCATATACAAAGTACGGAAGGGACTTCAAATTCTCAGTGAACATTTCTCAATGGAAAATGGGGCATCTTTACTGCAAAATTTGTACCAAGCACTGCACTACCACTGTTTGGAAGCAAGGTATGTTGTTTGGTTTTTTTTTACTTGAACCTAAACATTTTTACAAGTCTGGAACTACATGTAGTTCCAGCGAACTGGTACACAGCACTATTCCACACTGTTACTCACCCACAGCCAGCATGGTTGCCACTCCAGCAATGATGTTGAACATGGTGATTCGTACAAACCCAGTGGATGGCACAGTGAAGAGGAAGGATGCCAGGTACATCATGGGTATCATAGACCAGCCATACAGGAAAAACAGCAGCAAAATCATGGCTGAAACAATGACAGGGGAAAACATGTCATTGATTAGATGTCTAACATCTCTTAGCTAGACATAGAAAATGTGGCAAAATTACAGTACTATGCAACTTTGCAAATAACATTCTTAGATGTGTTTTTATGCATTAACGTAATATAATATACAGTCGTTTAATGCTTGCATCACTGGGGAAAATTTTCGATGGCCAGGTGGTTTGAAGAGGTGGTCACCGTGGCAGGTTTGACTGTATATTATATGTATGACTGTGACATCATCAAACAGTTCTAGTGCCATATAAATGTCATGGATAAATGTCAGAGCCTCCTCAACAGTTTTAAAACTGAAAAATAAAATTGAACAATCAACAAAAGAAAAAATATTCTAAGGTACATTTCTTGTATGTCGGTGAAGGTTAGACATCCAGGTAATACGCCAAAAAAACAGTTTCTCAAGCAACTGAATATGATTTTGGAAACGGTCAGAAATTTCAGGTAGCATCCACTAGCTTTTGTCAGTGACACTAAGAGACCTGCAGGTTTATAAGTGAGAACTATTTAATATTTATATGCAGGGGAAGGCAAATTTTTTGGAAGTCCAAAGGGAAACAAAAGTTAAGAAAGTCAAGTCTTAGACAAGGAACATTTCTTGTACCATAAAGCCTTACTCACCTACTCTCCCATCCTCCACATACGCCTTCACATCAAATCCCCACAACAGTACCAGGATCAGCAGACAGGGTACCATGAAGTTCATAATGTCCCAGGCAAAGGTGGAGAACCAGAAGGTCAGGCTGTGGACACCGCTCACAAACTGGATGTGCTTGGCCTTGGTGGCACGCTCGCGCACGATGAACAGGACAAAGCTGGCAGCCAGCGAGGACATACCAAACACCATGTTGAAGGCAATGGCAAAGGCTGTGATCCCTCTGGAAGAGAAAAATTGTTAAATTAGTCATTGATATCTTTTGAACAAATAGTTAGCACCCTTTCCTTGGTGCTGATATACATTCACACTAACACTGTCCTTTCTTGGTGCTGATATTGTCATTTTAGTCATTAACATCTTTTGCATCAAAGCTAATCTGTAATGGCTACAAACTTATGGCTACTAAGGTTATCACAATAGTTTTTCTAGATAAAAGTACTACATTTTGTAACATAATAAATAGACATAAGGCAACTTTTCCCCTAAAAAACAAGACTTCATCAAAATATTTGCTTTTGTGTAGTATATATTATTACATGTATTGTACCCTTTTTTCATTACTTGATTGACACATTTTAGCAAATTAAGCATGGTCACAGACCTAGCATTCCCAACTACACTTGGCTAGTCAGAATAATCTACAGCACTATACAGTCTTTAAGGCTTAAACAAGACAAGAAACTGCTTAAAGCTAAAACCTAGAGCTTTTGACCAGTAACTCTGGTCTTCTTCAGTAGACTGACCCAGAAAGGCTTGTCACATGGCTTCTCTGAAGTGTGACAAGAATACTGAGTCAAATTGGTACCGAAAGCTCTAGGTGAGAACCATTCTTTGTGTTGGATTCAAAGTTTTAACTGTAAACATGTAAGTACCAACACAGATGAATTTTACTGAGAGTAAAAGAAGGCAAGAAACTAACGTTGAGAGTTGGTCAGTGGCTGTGTCCTGTACGGTCCTGGGCATTGGGTGGTTGATGGTCTTCACCGAGAAATTCTCTCCCAACAGATACTTCAGAATGGCATTGTCCAACGTAACCAGTGTCTGTCCTGGCGTGTGGTACGGCATGTTGTTGAAGAGCGCCGTCGCTTTTATACCATTACCAGCTTCTGAGTCGTTCTCGGTTTGAAACGAGCTTGCGACAAGCACCCTGTGGTAGACGTAGTCGTTTCTCTTTGTCCTCAAGTCCACCAGGTAGTCAGTCATGTTGGGCGGTTGGTCCCAGACGGAAGAGTCGCTGATGTTGGTGGGAGTTGTGGGGGTGTCGGCAAACTGTGAGGCGTAGAGTTGAGCAAGCTCCCTTGTTGCATTGTTCGGATTGATACCGGCAGTGAAGGGGGAATCGTTGGGACCGTAGGGTGCGGTTGTCAGATTGAGAGGTGGAGAATCCTGTGGAGGAACAAACATATGCAAAACAAAGTATTATTACTAGAAAGGCCAACATTTGCTCAGGAGCAAATGCAGTAGATGGCTTCACCACATCCCCCATACCAAAAATGGACATGTCTACCCATCCTGCACAAATGGACTGTTCCTAAATCAACCCTGTCCAAAATTTGAAGTGTTCCAATAGTCTATACCCCCATTCAGCAATGGAATCGTCCAATGTCTTCTGCTGTTGGAACGTGTAGAACCAAAGGAGGAGAAACATCAGAGGAAGCAATATGTTTCACAACCACTTTGTGGTGTGGTGAAGCCATAAAAAACAATGATTTGGATTTCTTTTTAAACATTTCCTTGGTCCTGATATACATTCACACTAACACTGTCCCTTTCCTTGGTGCTGATATACATTCACATTAACACTGTCCCTTTCCTTGGTGCTGATATACATTCACACTAACACTGTCCCTTTCCTTGGTACTGACATTCATTCACACTAACACAATGCCTTTCCTTGGTGCAGATATACATTCACATCTAACACTATTCCTTCGCATATTTTGTACATTCATTATGTTTACCGAATAAAAAATGTATTGTTTTGGCTCTATTTCTTCTTCTCCAAACAAATAAGGTAAATGACCTGAACCAGACATCTGTCACCATGGTAACTAGTGTTGGGTTACATCATGTTGCAATCTTATAGCAGGAGGGATTTAGACTCCTGTATGACCATATATATGAATGTGTTTGAGTAAGAATTAACAGAGCAGACCATATGTGAAGGTAAACATTATGCATTTTCTTTGCAAATGTTACCTTTCTAGTTACATGTTACTGTTATGTATGCCGTACAGAGCCCCACTGTAAAACAGTGTTATGGCACTGAGTTGGGCCAGCAAATAAAATAGAAACAAATAAATTTACATGTAGTACTAGTACAGACCTGTGGTCCAGGGTACGTCTTGGCTACAATGAGTGAGAAGGCGGTATAGAGAAGGGGGATGCCAAACTGGATGAGGAAGACCCAGATGTTTCTCCAGGAGTGCAGCATGTGCTTCAGGAACATGGCGTAGAACTGTTGCCAGTACAGCCGTGCACCTGTGTTCCTCTTCAGATTACCTGAGTTAGGAGGAAGGGGAGGGGGGCTTTAGTATGAAAAGAAAATGTCTTCATGCTCCCTCAGTTGATAGTTACAAGTGTGTTAGAACCTGAAGTGCTGTGCTATGAAGTTTCTTGGGAATTATTGACCCAGTAAGAGAAGTAATTATGATACAAAGAGACAAGTAAAGCAAAGACAACTCCAGCATTGCTATCTACTGAGTAAGTAGGGAGGGGGGGGGGGCATTTACTATAAAAAGAAAATGCTCCCTCAGTTAATAGTTACAAGTTTGTTAGAACCTTAAGTGCTGTGCTGTGAAGTTTCTTGTAAATTGTGTTATCCAGTAAGAAAATTAAGTTAGAAAACATTATCCAGTAAGAAACGTAAAGTAAAACATAATCCGAAAAATAATAAGAAAAGCAAAGTTATAAAACAGAGAAATAAAGCAAAGACAACTCCAGCATTTCTATCCACTGGTGCATCATTCTACGAGTGAAGTTTCTTGTGAATTATTGACCCAGTAAGAAAAGTAAAAATTATAATACAAAGAGAAAAGTAAAGCAAAGACAACTCCAGCATTTCTATCTGCATTCTGCAAGTGACATTCTTTTTGGCAACTATAGTACAAACAAAACAAACAAAGAAAGCATTTCTATCTACTTGTAAAGCAAGGAGAACACCAGCATTTCTATCTACTTGTGCATCAGTCTGAAAGTGACATTGGCAACTAAGTCTACAGAAGGCATGCACAAGCCAACCATCACCACTCACCAGCAGCTACGGACGAGTCAAACTCACCAAGAGGCAACAGCTGGGCCTCAATGTCATCCCCCTCAGGATTGGTCGGTGAAACGTTGATCATGGCGGAACCGTTTGCGACGGGAGCCGCCGAGCCGTTTGCCACGGGGATGGCGGTGGGGGAGGGGGAGCGACTGATGCTCTGGTAGCTCTCGGCGGCTCGGTGGAGGTGCTTGTCGATGTCAGGATCTGAGTCACCTCCAACCCTGCAGCAAGACAGTACATAGTACACACCATACTTGTTCTAGAGTACACAGTACTTGTTCTAGAGTACACTGTACCTACAATGTACCATACTTGTTCTAGAGTACACTGTACCTATCATACTTGTTCTAGAGGTAGTACCCACTGTACTTGTTCTAGAGTACACTGTACCTATCATATTTGTGTAGAGTACACAGTACCCACTTTACGTGTTCTAGAGTACACTGTACCTATCATACTTGTTCTAGAGTACACTGTACCTACCATACTTGTTCTAGAGTAGTTTATACTCACCATACTTGTTCTAGAGTACACAGTATCCACTGTACTTGTTCTAGAGTACACTGTACCTACCATACTTGTTCTAGAGTAGTTTATACTCACCATACTTGTTCTAGAGTACACAGTACCCACTGAACTTGCTCTAGAGACTACACTGTACCTACCATACTTGTTCTAGAGTAGTTTATACTCACTATACTTGTTCTAGAGTCCTGATATATACCATACTTGTTCTTGAGTACCATACTTGTTCTAGACTACTTGTTGTACTACTACACTTGTTGTACTACAGTACTACACTTACTACACTTGTACACAGCACACCCCGAGGGGGGGGGGGGTAGGAACAGAGGGTGAGATACCAGTGCTCGAAATACCGGTACTTTTTTTTCTGCAGGTAACATCGAAAATTATGTGTACCAGACATGGATCACACTAAAAACTTGTGAAACACTATGACGTATTAACATTTTTTTATACTTGATAGGTGGTGGTAACAGTCAGTGTACCAAATAAAAATCCACACACACCTACATGTACATGTGTATTTAAACCTAGTACATGGACCAGTGCAGGTTAGGTGCAGGTAGACATCAGAAATACCTGCACAGCTCCAATTTTACCTGCACAAAGTCCCATACGTATAATATCATTCAGATTCAGTCTATAGATGTCAATGGCCTGTAGCTGCTTTATAATTAGAAACAAAGTGAAGGATCGAACTAAAGACCAAAATTTTAAAACAAATGACGCTCTTACTTGAGGAACACCTCCTCCATGGTTGTGATGGAGGCTCCATAGCCATCAATGCCAAGTTCCTCTTTCCTCTCCTCAATGTCAGTGAAGAGGGCCACAATACTTGTTCTAGAGTACATGACACCCACCGTACTTGTTCTTGAGTACCTGGTACCCACCATACTTGTTCTAGAGTACCATACTAGTAAATCTAGAGTACCTGATACCCACCATACTTGTTCTAGAGTACCATACTTGTTCTAGAGTACATAATACCCACCATACCTGTTCTAGAGTACCTGATACCCACCATACTTGTTCTAGAGTACCATACTTGTTCTAGAGTACCTGATACCCACCATACTTGTTCTAGAGTACCATACTTGTTCTAGAGTACATAATACCCACCATACCTGTTCTAGAGTACCTGATACCCACCATAATTGTTCTAGAGTACCATTACTTGTTCTAGAGTACATAATACCCACCATACCTGTTCTAGAGTACCTGATACCTACTATACTTGTTCTAAAGTGAAGCACTGAACTAAAGCCTAGTAATCTAAAGCAAATGCCGATCCCTTACTTGAGGAACACCTCCTCCATGGTTGTGATGGAGGCTCCATAGCCATCTATGCCCAGTTCCTCTTTCCTCTAATCAATGTCAGTGAAGAGGGCCACAATACTTGTTCTAGAGTACATGATACCCACCGTACTTGTTCTAGAGTACACAGTACTTGTTCTAGAGTACACAGTACTTGTTCTAGAGTACATGGTACCCACCATACTTGTTCTAGAGTACACAGTACTTGTTCTAGAGTACACAGTACTTGTTCCAGAGTACCATACTTATTCTAGAGTACCTGATACCCACCATACTTGTTCTAGAGTACCTGATACCCACCATACTTGTTCCAAAGTGAAGCACCGAACTAAAGCCTAGTAATCTAAATCAAATGTCGATCCCTTACTTGAGGAACACCTCCTCCATGGTTGTGATGGAGGCTCCATAACCATCGATGCCCAGTTCCTCTTTCCTCTCCTCAATCTCAGTGAAAAGTGCCTCGAACTGGGCCGAGCTCTCCGTGGGGAGGATATAGGACAATTCAGCGCCGACGTTGCTCTCCATCTTGGCGTGAGGGATGTGGGACTTGACGACCTTTGACACAGCGGACACGTGGCAGCCTGGCTGCTTGACGATGACCATGTGGTAGCCGACGCCTGGATTGTAACAAGAGGAGGTGATTAGATTATGGTTTTCAAAGCTAAAATTGTACAAACAGCTTTTAGACTAGCAATATGTCTATACTTGCTCTAGAGTACACAGTACCTACCATTATGATACTGGTTATAGAGTACTTGTTCTAGAGTACACAGTAAAATGTACTTGTTCTAGAGTACACTATATACCCACCATACTTGTTCTAGAGTACCATTATGATACCTGTTCTAGAGTATGTGGTACCCACCATACTTGTACTAGAGTACACTGTACTTGTTCTAGAGTACACATCACCCACCATAGTTTTTCTAGAGTACCATACTTGTTTTAGGGCAAACATTACTTGTTCTAGAGTACCTGATACCCACCATACTCGTTCTAGAGTACCTGATACCCACAATACTTGTTCTAGAGTTCATGATACCCACCATACTTGTTCTAAAGTACACGATACACACCATACTTGTTCTAGAGTACACAGTGCTTGTTCTAGAGTACACAGTAGCCACCATACTTGTTCTAGGGTATCATGTGTTGTTCTAGAGTACATGATACCCACAGCACATGTTCTAGAGTACATGATACTTACCATACATGTTCTAGAGTACATGGTACCCACCATACTTGTTCTAGAGTAAAATACTTGTTCTAGAGTACAAAGTGCTTGTTCTAGAGTATATGGTACACACCATACTTGTTCTAGAGTACCATACTGGTTCTAGAATACATGGTACCCACCATCCTTGTTCTAGAGTAAAATACTTGTTCTAGAGTACAAAGTGCTTGTTCTAGAGTATATGGTACACACCATACTTGGTACCTACCATACTTGTTCTAGAGTACACAGTACTTGTTCTAGAGTACGTGGTACCCACCATACTTGTTCTAGAGTACCATACTTATTCTAGAGTACACAGTGTTTGTTCTAGAGTACATGATACCCACCATACATGTTCTAGAGTACATGATACTTACCATACTTGTTCTAGAGTACAGGGTACCCACTATACTTGTTCTAGAGTACCATACATTTTTGTACTTATTCTATGGTACCTTCTTTCTTGAAGAGTACATGGTTCATACTACACTTGTTCTAGAGTACACGGTACCCACTGTACTTGTTCTGGTACAAAACATATTTGTAGTAGTATACATCATGTATGTTACTTACCATACTTGTTCTTGAGGAAGAGACTTGACCCGCAGCACCTGAGGGTTCCCTTGGCCATGATGGCGATCCTGTCTCCCAGCAGGTCAGCCTCGTCCATGTGGTGTGTGGTGAGGAGGATGGTGCGGTTGCGCCGGTGGTTCTGGAGCAGGTCCCACGTGGCCCGGCGTGCCGCGGGGTCCATCCCGGAGGTCGGCTCATCCAACATTACTATCTGTAGAGGTAGGAATGTAAAATGCGTCGATGAAGGTTAGACATCCGGGTAATAAGACACAGTTACTCCAGCAACTGGTTGCCCACTTTTTTTTCCTGATTTGGAAAAAAAAAGATTCTGGCCCTGAATCTACTCTAAAATGCTCATATTTTGCCCCCAACAGTTGAAGAAGAATCCTATTTTCCTAATTGCTACAGTTTTCCCATGATGTTGCAAGAAACTTATTAATCAACTACTATCATGTAAGGGTACTAGTGCTACGGAAATGAAAAGAAACCTAGAGTGGGTGTCATTAGAAGCCAGTGAAAAGATGTCAAGACTATGTTTGATGTACAAAATTACTAAATGAATAAACTGGTGGGTGTACCAACTACTAATTATTGCAACTAAAAAATGCTAAATTAAAATATCTTTTGACTCAAACAGTTAGCTCTTTCTAATTGTTACAGTTTTTCTATGTATTGATTTGATAAAAAACTTCAAAATTCATTGTTTGAATTATGAACCAGCTTGGTATGTTTTCACATCATAGCTCCTATCATAGCTTTTGGGGCTATTAGAGGATGCCTTGGTCTGTTTCTATTTTTTTGTGTGACCTAAGCAACCTTGTATGTGTGTACTGACCTTGGAGTTTGCACACAGTGCGATGCCAACAGACAGTTTTCTCTTCATGCCCCCAGACAGAGCACTGGTCCTGACATGTCGCTTATCCTCCAGCTTCATGGCCACGATCAGCCGGTCTATCTCAGCCTGGACTTTGTCATGAGCGAAGCCCTTCAGCTGCAGGATGGAGGGGATTCATGTTAATAATGAATGAATGAATGAAGACCTTTATTGTACTGGCTAAGCACAAGTCACAGTTAACAGTCTTATACAATGTGTATAGGCTTGTTCTAGACTGTGTACATTGTACGGTACCCACCATACTTGTTCTAGAGTACCATACTTGTTACATCATACCCACCATACTTGTTCTAGAGTACCATATTTGTACTAGAGTACACAGTACTTGTTCTAGAGTACACCATACCCACTATACTTGTTCTAGAGTACCATATTTGTTCTAGAGTACACAGTACTTGTTCTAGAGTACACCGTACCCACCATACTTGCTCCAGAGAACCATAATAATATTGTTCTAGAGCACACAGTACTTGTTCTAGAATATATCATACCCACCATACATGTACTTGATCTAGAGAACCATAATTGTTCTAGAGCACACAGTACTTGTTCTAGAATATATCATACCCACCATACATGTACTTGCTCTAGAGAACCATAATTGTTCTAGAGTACACTGTACCCACCATACTTGTTCTAGAGTACACCATACATGTACTTGTTCTAGTGTGAAATTCACACTTAGTAATAAAGATACTAAACAAACAAACAAAACGAGGATAATCTGACTGAACTAATAACTCGAAACATATATTTTAGTTGCAACTGAAAAGAAATTCTCACCTTGGCAAAGAAGTAGAGATGTTCCTCCACGGTCAGGTCGTCATACAGAATGTCGTGTTGCGGACACAGCCCCAGACTCTGTCGGATGGACTGCATGTTGTACCTGATGTCGTAACCGTTAACCAGCGCCGTGCCTCCACTGGGAGGGAACAGGCCTGAAACACACCAAAATAGACCAAAATTCGTCCAAAAATGTTTTTCAGCAATATTTAGACATCCTAAAGTACCAGTGTAATATACTGTAAATGTACTATGTAGCTCAATCGGGTAGAGTGCTTGCTTTGTAACCGGGAGGTCGGGAGTTCAAACCCCGGCTGGGTCATACCAAAGACTTTAAAAATGTACAATGTATAATATTTTCTGCCTTCTCTGCTTAGCAATCAGCATCTATGAGTATGAGAAAGAGTATGGGAAGGTCAAACACACAACACCACCAGCAGGCTAGCTTCAGGCTATAGTGCTTGCACAAGTGTGTGGCCCAAGGGCTACAGAAATAGAGATGGGCACAACTCCTATGCTCTGCACAGAGTGGAACGAGACCTTAGACATCCTTAAGGGAAAAAAAAAAACTTCCCTCTCTACTGACCCTAATATTTTCAGAACTAAAACAAGAAACAGAACATTTTTCCCTAGGCCAAAATTACTAAAATTTTGCAGTGAAAATGCACATATGACTTTTATGAGTCTACATGTATTTCTGCTTCCTGTCCACATGCACTGTGACATAGCGATATCAACAGACCATGTTTCAAGTACATGAATGTAGTATTCCCTCTCTTTTCTGCTGGCCAACTTATGTTGATAAATAAGACTACCCTGTAAAATACCTGTGAGCATGGACATGGTGGTAGTCTTCCCTGCCCCGTTGTGCCCCAGCAGTGCAGTTATCTGTCCCTCGTACATGTCCATACTGATCCCTCCAACAGCTGTCTTCTTCTTCTTACCTGAACCAAAGGTCTGAAATAACAAACAAAAATCAAAACTGACGTCAACACAGAAACCCACAGTCAACTGTTACTTTATCATAAATTCCTTATTGTCTATGTTAGTATGTTACCGACAACATAAATCTAATATGTTGATAAAGTATTTGATTGAATTGAAAGTTGTCTCCTATGTAAACATACTAGGAAATCACTATAAGCAGTTACAAATAAAAGTAATAATTTTTAACAGTGAAATGGAAATCGGATGTTAACAACAAATTTCAGCACCAAGGACATGTACATTGTAATTATGGCTTTTGCATCTTTATGTGTTTGTGTCCAGTTTATGTTTCTATTTCTATCTCAAAAGCTTATTTATACAAGCAATTGGAAATCACAGAAGAGCCACCAATAAGCTCTCACAAAGCAGCATGTCGGCAGAACATACTGACAGTGTGCCTGCGAAAAACCCCGATTTTTCAAGGCTTTCGATGGATGTTTGGTCAACGTTGCATCAGAAATTTGCCCGTTGCAGATGACATCTTTTCCAACACAGCATTTGGAAACTACAGACTGGATGTTAACCTTACATGTGTGAATACGATCTTATATGAGATGTTCTGCCAAAGAGCTGCATATGCGGGTTTTGCCCAGGTGCAGTATGTTCTGCTGACGTGCTTCACAAATCTTACCTTCCTAAGGTTCCTTATCCTGACGCCTGCTTTGAGATTAGCAGGATTTGTCTCAAAATACTCCCCCTGGTTATCACTGTGTTTTTCTCCAGACAGGAGGGGCGTGGTCTCATTGTCATCTTCATCAACAAAGTCTGACTTACTGGAACCACACCAGTATGAGCGCTGTAGGGGGGAAGGGCAGATGTTAACTAATTTTGAAACATTCTAGGTGGTTTTACTTTAAATTTATTTTCACACTTTTTGTGGTTGCCATTTTCAGTGAAATCATAACACTGGAAATATGTGATACTATGTAATACTACATAGTACAGATCTGAATTGATTCAGTTGCTATATATAAAAAGATCTACAGTTGATTTAGGGCCTGAAACGCGTTATATCAGAGGCTAATTTCAACAAACTCACTATTTCTTTTGGAAACGGTCGGAAATAATGTTCTTGCATTTCTAACGTCTCTCTGAGGTGTTAGAAGTGCAAGAAAATCATTTCGGAGCTTTAAAACAAAATCCGCACATTATAAAGTAAATGATTTACAGAAACCTATACATGTATATACATGTAAGAACAACCTGCATAAACTAAAAGTTAACAACATTATAGAATTGGGTGCTGATACGGAACTTAATTTCACTCATACACTGTAAATATCTAATAAAAAAATACAAATGCCTGCAAAGCTGGTGCGTATCTATACCAGCTATACGGATACGGTGAAAACAGGACAGTAGTGAAATACACTAACATACAGGACTAATACCTATAGACTTGCCATACTCTTCCAAGTGGCTGTCAACACAACTCAACACATGCCAAAAAACTGTTACAAAGCAACTGGATATGATTTTGGAAACGGTCAGACATTTAAGGTAGCATCCACTACCTTTCGTCAGTGACATAAGTGAACTTGTGCAGAAATGCAACTCAACACAGATACACACTGGACATAGGGTCACCACCCAACCTATACTAAACACAATCGAAATCATCGATCAGGAAGCCCGCAACGCCCACTGGAAGATCAAGGGGGCCATACACATCTAATTAGTGGGAGCCAAGCTGAACCGCAACGAAGGCTGGGAGCTGCCTAAGCCCTACCTACCTGTACTCCGCAAGGAGGCAGAGGGGGGGCAGAAGCAAGTCTCGTCCTGGTCTCGCGTTTTCTCGCGAGACTAGGATCATTCCGTGATCAAGACGAACTGACTAGTCGTAAAAAATTCGGAGGTATGTACCTTAGGATTTAATAGTCTTTGATTGAAAGAATTATCTTACTGAACACAGATACAGAACTCACCAGAACGGGGAAGTACCACGGTTGAGGTACTCCGTAGTCCCCTGGAAAGACAGCCTCGACGTACCAGGCAACCATGCAGTACAGCACACTGTCCAGTATCAGCATGAAGAACACGTGCAGCATGGTGAAGTCATCGTCAACAGACACACCTGTGTTAATGGTGGACCACTGAACTCCTGCACCTAGTGAGATGGAACATAAGGTGTAAGCTGGTGGTTCCCAGAGTTTACCGTATATTTTGATATTGTGTGTGGTAGTGCATCTGCTTCTGTACTGAAAAGTTACCATCCGGATTTTCGCTTTTGAGCGTTGCGGAGTGAAAATCCGGATGGTACCCAGGCTAATGTTCCACGCGAACCCCACAACATCGCTAATTTTTGCAGAATCCTTCAAGTTGCCGAAGAAAGGATTATCCCCCCAGAATTGATAGTGTCACGGTCCCTAAAAACTTATTTCTGTTAACTCATTTTGCAGCCTAAACCAGGAATTCATTATTATATTATATTGCCAAAATTACATCAAATTTTCTAGGTTTTACCAGGTTTGGCAGTGCCGAAATATTTTTGCATGGGGAATACCCCAATCCCAGAAATAGCTGGGAACCCTCACTATACTAGTGTCCTGGACCCACAGCTTCAGGGTTAATAACTGTAACCACTCCTTATTAAGGTTTTTACCCTCCATGAAATGGTGGGTACTGTTTTCAGACTGGATGATGTTTTGGTGTTCATGTATATCTCAAGATCTGTCGAACAGATTGAATGAGATGATATTTGGTAGGTGGGGTGAAGTGAATTGTGTAGCTTGACTTTGGGCCCCTGGTGACTAACCTTGGTACTGCAGTAGGAATTTTCAAAAATATCTTTGGCACTGTACGGTCTGTTAAGTTGGCATATAGTTGAAGAGATAAGGGTTGTATGAATGTTCTACTAACTGTCTTACCTGTCCCCTCAAACATGCCGATGACCTGTCCGCCCATGGCCATGCCGGTGTTACTGAGCAGGCAGGATGCCATCTTCTCGTGCCAGGTCATCTGGTCGTACGATTGGGTGATGAAGTAGAATGGGACGTACGTCATGAAGTACAGGACACCCGCCACGATTGAACCAGTGTTCGCTGAGGAAAGAAAAATTTGAACAATCTGTATCTTGGACACAGAACCGGACTTCTTTGCATGAGGGATTAAAGAGGCCATCTACATCAGGGCATTACAACCATCCCTCAACAAAGACGGGGGGCGCCACAGACTTTCTGCAACCTATGATCCACTGCTCGCGAAGTCACGTGTGTTATCTGCGTGACATCACGGAAGCGGTGGATTGCTCATTCCTTGACAAAGACTGGTGCTGTACAGTCGAAAATTTGGGTGAGTCCAATTTTTGTTGTGTTGGAAGTTGCAGTTTAAACTTGCTTCATAATGATTTCTACCAACACAGATGAACTATCAAGATAACATTCTGTATCTGTGTTTGAAGTTAAATCTTAAGATCCAACACAAAGAATTCATATTTCTGTCACCAAGAGCTTTCCACCAGTCACTCTGGTCTTCCTCAGTAGACTGACCCAGTGAGGCCTGTCACGTGACTTCTTTGAAGTGTGACGTCAACACTGGGTCAAAGGTATCTGGTAGACGATGTCGGCCCCCGTTGCTGTTGGGTCAGTCTACTGAGGAAGACCAGAGTTACTGGACCAGAGTTACTGGTCAAAAGCTCTAGGTGAGAGAACTTCTTTGTGTTGGACCTAAAGTTTTAACTTTAAACATGTAACTACCAACACAGATGAACTTTCATGATAGCATCTGTATCTGTATATCCGGTATAACTCACAGTGCAAAAAACATGATCACAAAAAGATCTGAACTCACCTTTTGAGAAGAAGACAGAGATGGCAAAGCAGAAACAAATAGTGGAGATGGCAAACAACATCAGGTACACCAGAATGATGCTGGGATCTGTCTGTTGGATGACTTTTCCTTGTGGCCAGAACTAAGACAGAATGGAAAAAAAACAGGATTCTCATTTATTTTTAGATATCATTCCATGTTCTTCTTCTTCTCCGTTACTGCCCAGCCCTACAGTGTAGGATTATTGGCAGCCATTACGCATTGTTAATAACAATTGTGACCCGGTACATAAAAAACAAAGGGAAAACAAGGATAACTGAGAAGGGAACATAAGACAACTGATTTTGTGTGTGCTAAAGACGGGACAAGCCACAGTCATAGGTAATAGTTTGAGCTGATAAGTGTGCTTTACATGCTTTTTAGCTGTACTGAGCTAATTGTTTTATCCATTGTGCAGTACACAGAAAGCTTGTTGTTTTTTTATGTGTTATCAAAATTAATACTTAGTAATATTTACATACATGTATATACAAGACATGATGTTTGAGCTGGCAAAGTTAGTTCTTACGACTATCAATTCTTAGGTAACCGTTGGAGTTTGTAGGAAGGCACAATGCAGAACAGAAACAAGTTTCTGACAAGTTCCTGAAAAGATTTTCCCTGACCATATAATAGTGAATAACCTTGTGCAGTCATTGTGAATCTTTCAGCAGATTTTCGGTGGTGCATTGGATACTGTCTGGCAAATAGATACTGCCCGGGCAATTTGATACTGTTTTTGCAGCCACTGAAAGATCTGCTTGCAGATAAACTGTAGGCTACAGTAACTAAAATGAAAAGGTGAGAATGCCCTTACCTTGACACAGATGAGCATGGTGAAGAGAGCCATGGTGATCATCAGGAACACAAACTCCTTCACAAACCAGGAGAACCAGTGGAGATAGCCATTCAGCCCCATCATCTTCATGGACTCCTGTACGATTCACAATCAAAGTTGTTAGTGTTTCTTCATTTTTCACACACTATTTTACTCTGCAGTTCACTGCACACAAGGAAAGTGAGGCATACACATATTAACGGGGGGTGCCCTAACTTTGGACGTGCCCTAACGGATTTTTTACTGATCTTATTATGCAAAATTATTGTCGCCGTGTTTGTTGCCAATGACTTCACTAATTAACAAGGCAAATAATAATAAATATATTCAATGCATGCAGCTGTTATTTGCATGCAAAGTATAGGTCTATATATTTATTTATCTTTTTATCGAAAAACAGAATATCGGTCATTTTCACCAATCATAACAATGGCACTGGAAAGAGGGTCACTGCATTGTGGTGCCCAGAAATAATAGACCTGTACCAAGAATTTGACACAACTGCCACATACACAAGGAATAAAGCTTTACAAAACAGCAAATATGTTGGTCTCTGAGTGTTTGTTTTGTAGGAAACCAACTCGTGAAAAATAAGGCCAACACCACTGTCATCTGCATTTCTCATGATTCTGCTGGGACCGCATTGATTGAATTTACTTCACATTTTTAAAAACTTTTGTCTGTCCCTAATCATAGATAATGCCTCCAGAAAATTTAAATTGTGTTTGTCTAAAAAATAGATGCAACAACTACAGTTAAAATTGTCCCTATCCTCCATACCTTAAGTTTCCTCTCCTTCTCGTGCACGAGGATCTTGACGATGTTTAAGACGGTGTAGACGAAGCTGAGCATCAGGACCTGTCCCAGCTGCTGCTGGATCACCAGCACGAACCTGTCGTCCACGTACCCGGGGTACGGGAAGCGCTGCATGCGCACTTCAATACCGGTAGTGTTCGCGCCGCGGGCCTGTGCCAGGGAAATGTCCACGGCATGTTGGATAGCCAGGAAACCCTCTCTGTAATAGCCTGGATGGAACAAAAAGGAAATACAAAACTAGAAAGGCCAATATTTGCTTTGGAGCAAATATAGCGATGGGTTCACCACATTTTACGACATGGCAGGGAAAGAATGAGAAATACAAGGGAAAACAATGATTTACATTGATATAACTATAATATGAAGTAACATACAACTAAAACAACAGTTGGATAGCTATTCCCTACTTTATTGGTTAGGATTTTTAATTGCATAATGCAAACTGTTGATTTTCAAAAAAAAAAACGTTCATGCCCCGCATTCCAATGCTGGAGCAGAAAAGCTTGAAATACCTACCAAAACACTTGAATAAAGACATTAATTATACAAGGACAAGCTGTTTGAATCTCGACAGGTATTTACAAAACTGGCACTTGGCAATTATCTCCCTTTTTTTACCTCCATGAAATGGAAGGTATTGTTTTTGGCGCGTCTGTGTGCGTGTATGTGTGTGTGTGTGTGTGTGTGTGTGTGTGTGTGTGTGTGTGTGTGTGTATGTGTGTTTGTGTTTCCGCATTTTTGTACCTTCATAAGTCCATAACGCCTTCATGGATTGTGGTGATATTTGGTATGCTGGTAGGTCTTAGGAGGGCGAAGGTCAAGGTCAAATATGGGCTACCTGGTGGATGGCCTTGGTACTGCAGCAGCACTTCCGGTTTAAAGGGGAAGTCCAATACTTTCAGTTTTGGGGCCTTTCTACCCAAAATCCTATTTGTAAATGGTGATTTATTGGTTTCTGCCAACCCCGCACATATTTGCGGTGATATCTGACCCGATCGATGTTTCGCGGCTAGCGCCAGATTGTCCGCTAGGCGGCGCTGCGACTGAATCTGTGACGTAAAAGGTTTCATTGGAACAGATTTGGAGCGCGCGCCATTTCAGTCTGTCTGCCAGTACATAGCTCGCTGCAAGTATGCCGCGTTGTGCAAGTTGTGGCTGTTGGTATGGCCCTGCGTCAAAGGAGCGCGGCGTAAGCTTCCACAAGTTTCCAAAAGACCACGATAGGCTACACAGGTGGTTGGTCAGCATGAGGAACAATCTTGTAAATAAACTGACGCCGGAGAAAATCAAGGAGTTAGTACACAAGAAGAGCGTCCACTGGCGGGTGTGTTCAGACCATTTCGAGCCTGGATGCTCGTGGAACTCTAGTTGTCATTGAATTCTGTTGAAATTTTCAGTCTATATGGCAGAAGTACGCATGTAGCTAGCTGTTTTCTTTATTTAAAACAAGTAGCACCTCAGATTTCAAAGCCTTACAATTCCAGATGGAACCAAAAATGTGACGACCACTGTACTAGCTGTGAGCACAATTATTATGGGAAAATGTAAATCCGACTAACACATGTGTCTAAGATTAGAACGCATACAGAAATGTACTGTAATTAGCAGGGAAAAAGGTGTTGTTTTGACAAGTTGTTATAAACCACAAAACAGGAAAGGTAGTATTCTGCCACCTCAATTCCTTTCTGTTGGGCGTATGGGCGGTCGATATAAATAAATCCGTCAAAGGGTTGAGTGAATTGCAACGTAAACAAACCGCGGTACTGACATGTTAGAGACCGGCTCCTGCACGCCCTGCCGGATCAGATCCCACCGAAAAATCAGCAAAGTTCGGAGGTTTGCCGGGTGCAGAATCACATCGAAGTCAGGGTGGTTTCTGATGCATGGGTGGTCTGTACCGACGTTCTTTTCAGTGTCTGTCAGCTCTGGCAGGTCGTGACAACAAACACTCTCCCGTACAGAGGGCATTTCCAGGCAGTTTCTATTTTCTTCGTTTCCACACCGGCACCAGTCCCGGTTCCCCAACCTCCAACGCTCTGTCTCCACATCACCGCCATCCCAAACGTTGTCATCGCCTGGATCGGGCTCAGAGTCGCCACTACTGTCAGTTTGTGGTTAAAATCGGAAGGGTTGCACGCCCGCCATTGTTGTTTACGCTAGTAGCAGAATGAAACCTTTTACGTCACAGATTCAGTCGCAGCGCCGCATAGCGGACAATCTGGCGCTAGCCGCGAAACATCGATCGGGTCAGATATCACGGCAAGTATGTGCGGGGTTGGCAGAAACCAATAAATCACCATTTACAAATAGGATTTTGGGTAGAAAGGCCCCAAAACTGAAAGTATTGGACCTCCCCTTTAAGGTTGAGTCAGGGCATGGCTGAGAGGAATCTCTTTTGTACTTGAGAGGCAGGGTAACAGATGTGGCTATGCCCAGCGAGGCAGCGCGCTCCCTCAGGGGAATAGGTGACCTATTTCAGGGCAAATGTGGCAGTGCCACTGTATGGCTGTGTGTTTGAAAACAAACAACCTGTGTTATTACCTCCATGAAAATGGAGGTATTGTTTTTGTTGCGTCTGTCTGTCTGTCTGTCTGTCTGTGTGTTTGTGTCTCCGCACATTTGCGGCCAGCATAACTTCATAACGCCTTTATGGATTGTGATGATATTTGGTATGCTGGTAGGTCT